CCAAAAGATCACAGTTGACAAGGTAGTTGGTTTATGATTTAAACCTTTTGGATAAGTTGATGGTTTGAAAACGTCGTTTAATTCCAAGAAGATCAGCCAGATCATTGTCAAGAAGGATATGCTTATTTTGAGGATCGAGGATTTCCAATACTCCTCTCAGAGTATTCATTTCAACCTTCAATCCTTCACTCTTCAGTGTATCTTGAAGAGCGAAGTAGTGTGGGTTTTGAGTGAATAATCACCCCCAGGAATTTTCTCTTTAGTTGGAGTGCCTTGTGCATTCATTACGGAGACTCAACCAGAACGAATTAAATTATACCAAAAATACCTAATATAATGCTATTTTTCGCTGCATAGCGGCTCTGTGTAGCGAACTGTGTGATCATTTGAATCTGCAATAATTTTCAAAAGAACCATTTTATTTATAGAACAATAAAAATCTACTGCTTTATACTTTATACTTTATACTGCTTTATATTTTTTTTTTAACTAACCACTTTACAAAAATTATCTTAAAATCTGATGATTTGCTGAATTCCATGGTCTTGGTTAAAGATTAATTAACGTGAGCTCATCGTCCACCTCTGGTTGTGGATGTTAAACACACCATGTTTTGTTCTATTATCATGTTCTAAGATGTCTTTCTTCCGTTTCTATTTCTAATTCATAAACCAACATAGAATCAAATACATCTATGCTCAAAGTTATTTTATGTATTCAACAACACTCAACATTCGATGATATGGATTGTATCTTGCGTTCTGGATGCGTTGGTTCTGGAAAGTCGAGTCCTCGGTGATAACTCTACACAGCTTTTATTGATGACGAAAATTCAAACAGGTTCGATAAAGGTAGTTTATTACCATCTAACCTCTGCTTAAGGAATCACATAGTTGAATTGGCCAACGTTTTTAACCAATTTTAGGAGGTAGCTACCCCCTAACGGGAGCTTCATGTTCATCACTGCGTCTTGTTTTCGTTTCATACGTGATAAAATTTATGATTTTTCGCCCTGTAGATAACAATAGTAATCTGAGAACACGAGATACGGAGTAGGATACATTAAACTGAAACAAATGAAAATGGTCTCGGTCGCTCATACCGGAAAAAATGCCTGTTATTGGCGACTAAAAATCATTCCTTTTAGCCTCTGTTTCTTGGTTACTATACCTTCTAGAAAGAATTCTCAGTGGCTGTCCGGAATTTCATCTAAATTCAATTTGTGTTGAAAATTCTCCAGAAAGAAAATGGCTTAGCATGTGCAAATAAAATGAAACTAGGTGGCTAGATAAACAGATCTGCTAATTCATTCAACCATTCATTAAGCGTAAAAATAGGTGAGGATTCTTGCGGAAAATCGCATGATCTTTTAAAGACACTGTTACAAAATAGAACCTTGGAAGTGAAAAAGATAACTTTCTTTTTATTTTTAATCTCCGCTTGAAGAATTTCCTTTTTTTCGGTATTTCAACCTCCGTGATGTTTGTTTTCATGGTAACAGATGTATCTCATATAAAATTTGCTTTCGTAATACAAATATTCTGATCTGTGTTTGTCAAAATAAAACAGACGCGATAAATACAATTAGATAATTTCTCTAAGGAAATTGCAGCGAGAATTTTAGAAGTATTCCAAGAAACCCCATCCTGAGGATAGACTACTCGGTAAGTTTAACTGAAGCTTTACAATTGATCTCCTATTAACTCTTCAGATATTATCCCTTTCACTTAATTAAAAAATATAAATGATCGTCCCCCAGAGTCTCTCCTAAACCACAGGATTTTCGGGCGTTTTAATGGCCACCTCTCTTCAAGAAAACAATTTCAAGAGCTTTGATCTACACATGCTCTGTTAGACAAGATTTGTACGTAGACGGTTGGCTGTAGAAACTATCCTTGCTGTAAACGTCCTTTACCTTTACTCACTGGACGGTATTTACTTCCAAGTTCAGATCACAAATTTTTGGATGCTTCATAAACTTAAGAACTCAATTTGCAAAATTTTGGAATCTGATGTAACCTTGAAGATAATTCTATAACATATGTGCGTATCACCTAGCTGATCGAGAAGCTTATGTTTAACGCGTTAAATACTGTGCAAAATAATAGATGCTAATGTTTAAAAGAGGACTTGGCGGGGTAGAGGGTGTGGTAAAGTTTTGCCTCCGATTAGAAACTCGAAAGCAGGACAATGATAGGGAACGCGAATGAAATTGATAAAATTTATTAGTAAGTTTTCGTCTGGTCTCGCTTTCGGTTGCTTTTGCCGTAAATCAATTGAGCGCAAGGTTTTTGAATTCACATAAAAATGTGCATTCTAAAGAAAGTGAAAAAAATATTATAACTCCAAAAAAGCATTCACTGGACTCTCTTATTTCTTAAATTAAGTCAAAAAGCTATTTTTAAACCAAGTTTAGACAGTATTATTCTGCTCAGCTTTTGTTGCCATCAATTTCCCTTAAGTCATCGCTATATCAATTTTTAAAAAGGAATATGAATGGTGGTAAAATCAGACCGGCCTGATGAAAAGGTCCGTTTATCAACCTGTGTTCTCCGGCTGGCTCAGTTAAATCTATCATTCTGATGAAATAATCCATTAGCAACTGGTTAGAGCTCCCATTATATTTCCTGTTTCGTTCTTTTAAAATTAACCCTGTAGAGAGCATGATGCCCAGCAATGGAAAGCCTCTTGAATGTGTATGAGACAAAATCTTTACTAAGATCTTTGTTCATAATGAAACTGAAATTGATGGAATATATTCTGGCATGTACAAACAATCCTATGTTATATGACAAACTATAACTGCTTATTTACGTATTATTTATTTGTAATATGAGATGGAGGTGAAACCACCCCTAATGGGGCCGTTAAACCATAATACTTTACAACTATTTGAAGTGAAAAAGACACTTCGTCCATTTTTATCTCCTTTTTTCAGATATTTCCTCTCTATGCTATTTGTTCCTATATCTTTACACGGCTCCTAGTAACGTATAAATAACAAAAATTGTTTTCATCTTGTAATATAAATATGTTACATCGTGTTGGGTAAAACATTAACCACATGCGGCTCTTATTTTATCAATATTGCAATAAATAGTCCTCTTAGGAAAGACCCAGTGGTAAGTTTAATTCAATCGCTCATATTCTCACTAAAGGAAACTTAATACAACAGACTAGAACTTAAGTCTGATCCTGTCCTTACGGGGTTAGGGAAACTGCAACGTTACGTAACTGGAACAATGTCGTATAAAAAGAATCTCTGATCTATCTCCGTCGATCTCCTAGCTCCAACTGACTCGATACTAAAGGGGCGTACCACTATAAGGGTATAATTCACGTGTACAATTGCAAACTGGTTTATCAATTGTACAATAGTACACTAGGAAAATTGGGGCGTAAACTCGACAAAGAAACAAGACAGAACTTTTTTCCTACTTTAAATCAAAACAAAACGATTACGTAATCAAAGTCTTCTTCGAATGTTCATTACAAGTGTAGAAAAATAAAGGAGACATTAATGGCCAGTTATCGAAACAAATTGTAGCCGTTGTTTGACGAAACCGCTTCCTCAACAATCCTTGATTTACCTGGGCCTTTTATCTGAACATTTGTTTTTGGGAACAGTGTCAAGAGAGCTGAAATCCTACAGTGGAAGGACATTTATTTAAATCAACCTTTTTACAGAGAAAGCGTAAGGCCCACTCATCACGTAAAACCGTGGTTTTGCTTAGCCCTCGTGTAAATAGCCGCCCCTTACCTGTCTTATAAGGTGTGTTTCATGCTGACCAAATGATGAAGGAGTCCAAGTTAATCCCCTTTTCGAGTTGAATTTCTAAGTTTTTCTAGAAAAAGAGGAAAGTTTTCAATTTTTGATTGACGTTTTTAAGCTACACATTGATAAATAATTGCCTCAGAATCAATCAATTGCAATCTAAACTTCTGAAATTTATTTGAATTGTTATAAAATTAGACCGGCGCTTTCAAATAAAGGTTTTGTCTATTTAAACTTTCCTGCTAGCGTAGTCAGTTTCTGGGCAAAATCCAATGATCTGATGAAATGATTCTATAATAATTGATACGAAATCCTTAATAAGTCCCATTCGTTTTGTTTAAATCAATTTTCTAAAGACCTTAGTACCGACTAATGATAAGCATCCTAAATGTGCATTTTTATTCGCCAAATTGTAAAACGAAAACATTCCGTGAGTAACATAACCATAACTATGACATTTATTTGTGATTAGACTGAAATTGAAGAAACATATTCTTGCACGAACAAACAGACCCATGTGGTATGACAAAATCAACTGTAATTATTATTAATATACGCGGCCAAATAGAAAATCGGCCTCTTCAAAACACACGCTCAGCGGGCCGCAAAAGACTGACAGCGGGCTGCTAATGCATTATCAGCCCTACAGCTGATTGGTTCTTGCTTCATCATCCAATGGATTTTAACCAATTAGAGTAAGCCTAGTGTTGACGCGGGAAAACCATTCATTTGCGAAACTCCGGTTTTAAACTGCAGTTTTTTCAGTCGTCTTCGAGCGAAAACTGAAGTAATGGAAGAAATTAGCAGTCAAAACTCAGATTTGGGGCTAGAAGATTTGGACAAATTAGAAGCAAAAGGTCAGGCGGAAAATACAAAGAGAGCCACTTCGTGGGGGATCAAAAAATTCGAGAAATGGTGCGACAAAGGAAAGCTGAAAGTTGACTTCAATTGTGTAACGCCGGTTGAGCTAAATGAATTACTGCGGAAATTCTACGCTGAAGTTAAATCGGAAAAAGGCCAACCGCTAACACCAAGTAGTCACCAAGTCATTCACTTAGCTTGTATTATTAAAACTCGCATTCTTGATATCATTTGGCCTTGTTTATTGATAATAATGATAATGACATGACTAATGACACTACGCGGGCGCAAATAAACAATATTCCCCCAAAAAGTCATGTTATTCCCTTATTATTAAATTTTTGTAATGCAAATATTTTACACCATGTTGGGCAAAACAGTACCTGGCTCTCATTCTAGTAATACCGCTAGTAACAGTCCGGTAAGCAAAGAAAGGTAGGTAAGTTTCATTCAATGTCCCACTAAAACTAAAAAACCTAAGATAGAGTGAGACTGAATTATCAAAGGTTATCAACCAAACGATTTTAAAGCATCTTATAGAAAATGTTCTTCCGTGATAAACAGTATCAATTGATCGCATTGCAAAAACCTATCGGGAGAATAGAAGATACATTAAAAGTAACGACAACAGTATTGTAAAAGTTGTACTTATAGATGGTAAGAGTATTTTAAGAACGCTTTTAGTAAAGGCACCAAGAACTCTCGACCTGTCTTTTTTCATTCTTCTTACATATCTTTTCTGTAAAACGAACTTAGTAATACCTACAACAAACTCACTTCAATCTGGTTAACTCTGGTCCTCTCCCTAACTCCGTTCCCTTCCTCTCTCTTTCCCACTCACCACTTCTCACTCTTCTATTTCTTACTGACTTCTAATTGAACTCTCTTAAATGCTTTTAAAAATGCTTAAATATTCGCTATTGGTAGGCTTAAGTGGGCATGCTGGCTAACTGATCTTGGAAGATTAAACATTTGTTGTCAAAACTCTATAACTCTCATGCTTTAGCGAAACTCTCACAAATGAACAACTCCTCACTTGAATGCTTCCCATCAACCAAATCAGTCTTTAACTGAGTTCATATGACATCATGTTTTCTTTCACATGCGGCTCCTGTTCTGTGCGCTTGAGCTCTGCTGATATTTATTCGTGATTTAAACGGGATACGCTGCTACTCCGGTAATTTGCTGTCTAAAGGCAAACATTATCTGCTGATACATTGTAGCAGGATTGTTCCATCAGACCACAAAATCTGCAAATAGTTTCACTTTAGTAACAAAATAACGATGTAATTATCAACTGGGAATTCAGCTGTTTATGTGAAAATAAAAAAAAAAAAAGCTGACGCAATTTTATTCCCTTTCAGCGCCTACAACAAGAAAATATGCAGTCATCGCCGACATATATCTTCACACTACTCGTTTTGAGTGTGGATATTTTTTTTGGTAGGTACTTAATGCATGTTTTCAAGCTCAAGATTATATGCTCAGAGAGTATGAAATACACTGGCTTGGTTCTGATTCATTCTAATGCATATGCGCTGATGAGTTTGAAGGAGACAGCTGCAGAAAACGCAAGTCAGTGCTTCAACTATTGTAGGATAATCGATTTATGCATTTGTAGATTCTCTTTCGCGGAACATAACACAGTCTTATGATTCTTGCACAGGGCTTTCTTGTCCACCTGGCAAAAAGACGGACGATCCTCAAGGCCGTTGCTGTGTTTTTCCTTTTGAGTATGGAGGAAAAACTTACCAATCTTGTACCAAGGTAGCTCATCACAGATTGTGGTGTTCATTTGACGAGGTTTACAAAGGACAATGGGCTAACTGCGGTAAGAAATAAATATTACAAATATGGCAATTTTAAATTCAATAAATAAGTTTTTTGAAACCATTATTACTTTTATTGACCGCCTGTAAGATACAAAATAGCATTCAACGCTAACCCTTCAGAAATGGATTACCGAGGCCGCCTAAAGCAAAGTTTTTGTTCTGAAACCTAGTAAACCCGTGCACAAACAGCCCTTGCCAAAATGGGGGAGTCTGCGCAGTAACTGGAGATGACTCTTACAGCTGCAAATGTGCCGACGGATATTATGGACAAACCTGTGAAAAAGGTAGAAGCACGATAAATATGGTCGTTTTAGACATTTTTTGCACATAGGCGCTATTAATTTCTTTTATTATTATTTAAACATATTTATTATTGTTTTCCCCCAAAGCGCTAAGGCATAACGAGGGGGATTACAGTGTTACAAATATAAAATCAATTTATTCAGGCTCACACAGGAACAAACTCATAACCAACACACACAAGTTGCAATACAACGGGTTAAACTTACTAAGCTAGGAATATATGAATTAAACAATCAAACAATGGCCTCAGAGAAGCGATTAGTGTTAATTATAAAACTTTGTACTTCGCGAAAAAAGGCACAGCTGACGTCGTAATTTACAGACTCATCACCGTACAAAAAAAAATTTAGTTTCCTAGCATCACCGCCGGATGACCATGTTTCACCTAGAATATTAGCAGTAGAGGTAAGGAGGACCTCACGTTGAGCGGCATACCTCGGGAAATGCAAGAAAAAGTGTTTCACCGATTCAGAATCAAAACTGCACTCGCAAATAAGCGACACACAACTATTAATTTTGAAGAGATATTCTCTTAGTATAGGTAATCACATGATTTCGAGTACAATTTGGAATAAATAAGCAGGAGTAAATTTTTTTAAGACTAACAAAATTGCACGAGCCCGTTGGGCGAGTGCAATTTGTGACCTTTGAAAAAATTGCACTAGAAAAATTATGTGATTACGTGTTAATAATATGTATTAAAAAATACGAGAGAGCTTATCATAATCAATTAAGCAGAAGCAAAGCGCGCATCAACTGCAAAAATAATTTATTTAAACCGTGTACGATCAAAACAATAATATACAATGATATCTTCACATCTTTAAGGCGCAAAAAAGTTTAAAGTCCGGCTAAATAGTTCAAGGAATTGTTCAGTCTGTGTCCGAATCACTTTCAATGAAATGGAATCGTCGTTTCCGAGGTTTAACCATGTAATTTTCGATTTCCTTGGCAATTCCCTTCTTTAAACACCACTTTTTCCAAACCAACAACCAAAAACCAGTGCTTTTAGCAGTGTTTTCGTTGTAAGAGCTGTTTTTCAGCTGCGGTCGTGAAATAAAACCTACTCAAAACACCGGCCATTGTTTCGCTCGCAATTTTTCAAATTTTCAAATTTTGTTGCGACATCTAAGGCTCGCATTTGATTGGCTATCTGTGAGTTTCTTTCATCATTGTCCAATTAGAATGTATGGTTTGTTTAAGAATTTGTTCATGCTTAGCGCGCGTATATCGAGTTAAGGATGCACGCGGGAAGTTTGGAGAGCACGAAAAATGCGTAAGAGTAGCTTGAGGCGAATAAAAGATTTAGTTCATAGCGGCTCAATAGGGCTTATATAGGGCAAGCACGCACGCTATGTTATAATCCTTTTTTTACATTGAAGTAACCCGCTTCTGCACTGAATTACCTGAAAACTGCATTTTTCTTAACCAATCAGAACTGAGTGATTTTTTCAGGTATATTATTAGACAAGAAAACCCAAGTCTAAGGCGGGTGTGATCAACAGATGCACGCCTTGTAAAAGAACAATCGTATAACCTATTGTAAGTATGCGGAAAGAGAATTGACCGAGTTTTCGCTTTAAAAGTGGGAAGAGATACAAATCTCCATCAAAAAATTGTACAAGTAAAAGAAAACAATCTTTTCACAGATTTTAGAAAAACTTGCCAGCAGAGAAACAGGACGGCAATTCACTTTGACACATACCGACAGATTACAGGACGAGTCATCCTACAACCCGACATCACACAAAGCCACTACTATCACGTCTCTTACCCGACTAGTGCAATTAGTATGTAATACAACAGACAGCTTATCCGACGAGAACAAGTACCTTAACCGTGTTTTTTCAAAGAACAACTACAACGAAAACTACATCCAACGTAACACTCACAGACCTACTACTACTACTACCGAAACTAACGACAACGCAACCCCTACGACCACAGCCACTATACCATACATAAAGGGCATATCTGAGAAAATCTCACGTATCCTACAACCATTCAATATCATTCGCTCACAAACCTATTACCACACTACGTCAGTTACTGACTAACATCAAAGACAGAGACGAATCGAGGAACAGACAAGGAGCAGTATATAAGATCAATTGCTCCGACTGCCACGCCTCCTACGTCGGCGAGACTGGCAGAAACCTCGCAACTAGACTGACCGCACACAAACGAACGACGAAGAAAGGCGATGTCAACAATCTCATTGCTGAACATCACCGACTTACGAACCACGCTATTGACTGGGACTCTGCGTAATGCCTAAACTACACTAACTTCACTAACGGATCCGGCAAACCGACCAATCACGACTGACCTACGCCACTTGAGTCTTACAGCCAATAACATCACGGCAAAACTGACCAATCAGTGTACACAAACCGGACTAAGTACATTTGACTGACAACAACCTTTCACTTGACTCTGATGATGACTTCCGCTCAGGTTGTCGAAACGTCAGTCACCACTACCGACAACAGTCCTTCTCAGGACTACACTCACCCGGACGATCAAACTACACTATTACATGTTACCCCCGGGTTCAAACCATTTACTGAATTCATTTTGAGTTGACGATTGTCATTTTTGAATATAGGAATAACATTTGCAAGCTTCCGCTCACTGGGGAACTGACCAAGTGAAAAAGACATATTGATAAAACGAGTGAAATAGACATAAAACCATCACTGCACATCTTAATAATCCTGTTGCCAACTCCATCATAACCATATACTTTAGATGTATCAACGCCCCTCATTAGTTGAAGTACTTGCTCTTCTGTAGCGATGAAGCTAGATAAAAACTATTGAGTCTGATAGGGCGAGATAACAGGAGAAATGGTGTTGGCGCCTGCAAGCTCAGTCTGAAACACAAAGAAGTCGTTTAAGATACACGCTTTTTCCTTGGGATCAAATATGGGCCGTATGTTTTCGACAATGGTTGGAATAGATGAGGAATTTTCCCGACCACATACTCTCCTAACGATTGACCACCATTTTTTACTGTTAATGTAAGGGTTGCTCAGATCCTTGTTGACTCTTTCATAAAAGGCTTTTTTTGGCAGATCGTACAAGTGAGATACTAAGATTACGTTGAGCCCGATTAGCGTTCCCACGTTCGGCTAGAAATGGGCGTTTATTGTGAATCGGAGCAGGCGGTCCCGCCTCTTAATTGACAGGCGCACTTTACTATACATCCATGTTTAATCCTTAGCAAGTAGTGTTACCGTTTTCAGTGGAATGTACTTCTCAATAATCAAACGAAAGTAGCCATACCACCTTGACTATATTTCATCTATGTCTTTAACATTTTCATACAAAGAGATCCAGTCTGATTCCCCATTCATATTTGTAGTGTCGACGTTATTAAAATTCCACACCCGCCTTTTGTAAGATCGACTTCTGTAAGCGAAGATATTCATATTTGAGAAGATAACAGAATGGTCACAACTGGAAGGGGGATTTAAAGTCCCAGAAGTACTTAACGCCCTGGAAAAGTTGTGGTAACTAAATCCAATATCGTCAAACTGTGACAAGTGACACGAGTTGGCTCCACTATCAGCTGTGCCAAGTTGTTATATTCTAAGAAACTGTATAATTTTTTTACCTACATCATTATTCCCTGATGGATTTGTAGAGTCGTAATGAGCATTGAAATCTCCCAATACAACAACCCTATATTGTTTCGGTGGTTGACGAATTTTATCAAGAAACAGCTAAAAATATTCGAAGAAATTAGCAAGGAAAACACTATCGTCATCGTCGGGCGGCCTGTAACAACACCACAGGGAACATCAAGGTGTGATGCGGAATTCAATCCAAAGGAATTCTATGGCGGCAAATTCCAAATTTAACCTACGCTTAGCCACGAGGGTACTAACCGTGAAGAATGCAACTCCACCACCCATTCTGTTGTGCCTGTCAAGTCGGATAATAGGGTTGTACCCTGCAATTTGTAAACAATCACTGCACACGCGATTGTTGAGCCAGGTTTCCGTGACTGCAAAAACATCAAACTCGTCATCTCTCACCAGCAAAGAAATCTTTTCAAACTTGTCACCCACGTTCAAACTTCTGGCATTTTAGTGATCGAACTTGAAAAAAGGTTCCGGATTTAGTTCAACATCATTAGACAAAACTATTCTAAGAACGATACAGACTGCAATCCATAAAAAAGTCAAGGTAGCGTCCGCGTGGTTCAAAGAATAAACAAACTTAAAACACCGCATCCGAAAACAATTGAATAGCCCAATAGCCGCTCTTTATGCCTCCAAACTAACCTCCATTATCGTATATTAACAGAAAATGGAACCTTACCTCTACCTGCATGCCACAATAAAAGTAAAAACAAACATTAGAGCGAAGATTTAAATAAATAGGGACAGATTGAAAATATATATTAGACTAAATACCACATAGTTAGAGGCCAGCATAAACTTACGAAAGGTACAAACTAGCACTAGGGCAATATGATAAATCTGGTAACATTCCTTGAATCCTGAAGTGAATCCTGTGGTTCGTCGTTACTTGAAAATTATAGTTTCAAGTTCACAATAGTTCATATTTTGTGAAGCCTAATTAATTAACTACATGAAGTCTTCGACCATCTGACTTCGGTTTTCACTTTAACACACTTAACTCGAGAAGTGTAAAATAGTTTCTGGTTACTTTTGGTTAAGTCTTCATTGATGTAAAAGCCAGAATCCTTAAGATTTTTCCCGTTCTTCATTATTGTGAGTTTATCCTTGTGCCTTTTCAAGCAAACAAAAATTGCTTTATTAGCTCCTTCCTCTTTCTTACCTACCCGGTTAGCTCTGTCAACTGTATCATCGCTGACTTCCAAACCAATTTTTCCCTGCCAAGTTTTACAAATTTAGCCGCACAATTTTCGGCTACTAATTTGCCAACCATGATGGACTACTACTCTGCCAATCATAATGTTTCATTTCCTCAGTGAGCCCCTGTAAATCACATCCATGTAAAAATGGTGGAACATGTACAATGACGGGTCTTGATTCATTCTCATGCAAATGTACCGATGACTTTGAAGGAGACACCTGCGAAAAGCGTGAGTAACGTTTTGACAGTACATCAGTAATGTTAAACTTATGCTTTTGCCCATGAGTATATTTATTTTGTGAAGAACGTAAGACATTTTATTCTGATTCTTCCACAGGACTCCCTTGCCCACCTGGGAAAAAGACGGACGATCCTCAAGGCCGTTGCTGTGTTTTTCCTTTTGAGTATGGAGGAAAAACTTACCAATCTTGTACCAAGGTAGCTCATCACAGATTGTGGTGTTCATTTGACGAAGTTTACAAAGGACAATGGGCTAACTGCGGTAAGAAATAAATATTACAAATTTGGCAATTTTAAATTCAGTGAAGAAGTTTTTTTGAAACCATTCTCACTTTTATTGACCGCCTGTAAGATACCAAAGAGCATTCAACGCTAACCCTTCACAATATCGACAATCTCCTTTCGCCATTACAGAAGAGTTGTTTTTCCTTAAAATCTCAGCCACTGATGATAAAAACAGGCGAAGTTTCTGATTATGCTGACATGGAGAGTTAAACGAACACTGGTTCAGAGCTAGCTATCAATTCTCTCTGCTACTTAACAACTTCTCTGCTTGTGTTGCCTCAAAAACATTTATGGAGTGGATACTGGTGACCCTCTTCCGCAAGACCTGTAGAGGGACGTGAAAATGCTAAATATTGTTTTGAGAGCGTTAGGTTGTGATTTGTTCATGTGCCAACTTTTCAAAATAAAATATTCTATTCGAAGTTTTAGTTGATAGTCAACGAAGTGTGTTTGGTTTCCCTCAGCGAAACACAAAATTTTCCCTAGACACAAATCATTACCTTCGATGTGTCAATGGCACTTAAATACCTTTGCATATTCCATTTCCTGAGATGAAGCCTTTCATGTTTAAGGTAATTTTCTGTGTGGAAAACAAATCCAGTTACCTCAACAAATAAATAGCAGAGGTCGCCTAATGAAAAGTTTTGTTATGACCCTAGTAAACCCGTGCACAAACAACCCTTGCCAAAATGGAGGAGTCTGCACAGTAACTGGAGACGACTCTTACAGCTGTAAATGTGCTGACGGATATTATGGACAAACCTGTGAAAAAGGTACAAGCACGATAAATATGATCGTTTTAGACTTTTTTTTGCAGATAGAGGCTATAAATTTGCTAACCATAATGGACTACTACTCTGCCAATCATAATGTTTCATTTCCTCAGTGAGCCCCTGTAAATCACATCCATGTAAAAACGGTGGAACATGCACAATGACGGGTCTTGATTCATTCTCATGCCAATGCACTGATGACTTTGAAGGAGACACTTGCGAAAAGCGTGAGTAACGTTTTGACAGTACATCATTTATGTTAAGCTAATGCTTTTGTGCATGTGTAGATTAATTTTGTAAAGAACGTGACGCAATTATTCTGATTCTTCCACAGGACTCCCTTGCCCACCTGGGAAAAAGACGGAAGATCCTCAAGGCCGTTGCTGTGTTTTTCCTTTTGAGTATGGAGGAAAAACTTACCAATCTTGTACCAAGGTAGCTCATCACAGATTGTGGTGTTCATTTGACAAAGTTTACAAAGGACAATGGGCTAACTGCGGTAAGAAATAAGCATCCCAAATTTGAATACAAAACAAACTTATTGTGGGATTATCTGCTAGAATAGCCATTTTTTTCCTAAAATGTACTGTTTGTTATTGGAACTAAAAAATGTAGATGCTATTGTTTAGAGGTAGGAAATTTTAGGGAAGTCTTTCAAAAAGTTTTTTAGAGAACCTTTCATGTGGTGTTACTGAGAAACCCTGAATAAACATTTGGACAAAACACACAATATATATTTTAAAAATGAACATTCGAACAAATCATGTCTTAACGAGAGACAAAAGTCATATTCTGTCTTACCAATAAGCCATCCTACTAGTGTAGCCCCAGCTGCATCCTCGACGAACGCAGTTGGTATCACGGGCATGATCTTATGGGATACACTTTTCCGGTTAGGGTTATGAATTTCATCTTTTGTACTAGAGAGGCTTAAGTGCAACTTTCATTTCACATTTTTTGCTCATGCTTTACTTGATAATGTAATGTTTTCAATGATTTATGGCAAAGCGCAAAAGGTTCCCCTTCCAATGCAGGCTCGGTTTTCTTCCACCAATTCGAGTAAATAATAGTTGTTGTCTATCTTCCTGTCAACGGAAAATGACCCTAAGCAAAAACTCTTTTGCGTTTTGCTACTCTTCCGAATCCTATTTGAGGAGTTTCTTTTATTTAGTCTTTCACAGCTCATTGTGATGCTATGATTTGATGGGTTATTTTGTGATCATGGATTATTGTTGACATTCTTTTGCAACAGTTGATGAATGTGAGTCATCTCCTTGTAAGAATGGAGCCAGTTGTAAGATTACTCAAGATGGTTACAGTTGTCAGCCATGTCCTGCAGGATGGGATGGGAAAAACTGTGATGAAGGTTTGATGCGTATTTGAATTAACTATCTTTTTGGTCTTGGGAAATCACTTACGGCCAGCAGCTTAGTCCCCTTTTTACCCCCAAAATCTTTTTGCGGGTAATTTGTACTGCCATGTGCACTAAAAGACACTCCATGAGCGAAAGCAACGTTGATATGCGCGTCGGATTTCAACAGTGAATGGTGTAGAGCCATCGGAAGTTACCATTACTTCCAACTTTTTCATCCTTCCAACTAATTGGTGAGACTACGTTCTCATTTTAAATGTCTTAATACTTCAAATCTATACGCTTTCTAGGCGAAGCCAATTAACTTTTATAGTCATTACAATTAACGACGTCTGAGTTATCCATCTCATGGAACAAATAAAGGGTTTCGAATAGGAACCTAAAGATTCTCCGTGTTTTGTCTTCAAGTGTAAGTCGCTGTCTCATCAAGTCTGAGCGTAAAAATAAAGCACAGAGTGTACATTAACGATTAATACATAAAACATTGCTACCCACACGACACTAAATAACCCTCAAAAAGTAGCTTTCACCAAAGCAAACGGGATGCCGACAAGTACTTCACCTACTTTAACAACTGTTAAATACATTTTGCAATCCCTCGGCTGACAAACCTCAGATACATTTTCGCCACAGATCAAATCCTCTTCTGACCATGCATCGTTTCATCCAGTTTGCCTTCAAAGTAGGATTCGGAGTATTTTCACAAGAATCAAGGATTCACCAATATTAGTTTTTTTTCAGTCCTTTGTGTTTCTGCCGAGACATAAGGTTGAAATTTTGAACACTTTATAGTCAAACATGGACCAAAAAAAGTCAGACTTCTCACTGCACAGATGCTTTCATCCATTTGTTAACTTATTATTTTTTTTCCACCAGACTCGGACTCAAGTTTTTCCCCAAGAATTGAGGGTTCACCAAGACTTTTTTTTCAGTCCTTTATGTTCCTAGTGAGACCTTAGGTGGAAATTTTGAACAATGTTTAGTCAAACATAGACTACAAAAGTCAGACTTATCACTTGACAGATGTTTTAATTCATATGTTTGGTTTTTTTTCACCAAATTCGAACTCAACATTTTGGCCCAATGACTTCTTCCAATTCTTTTGTTGCAGTCGCGTGGAAATCTGAAGGATGTTTCAAAGAGCACAAGAGGAAAGCGAAAATGGTTCTCGGACGTAAAATCGCCACCGTCCCTGGAAAGAAACTAAGCATTCAGGACATATTTGATAAGTGCAAAATTGCAGCGGAAAAGAAAGGTTTCAAGATTTTTGGTATTCGAGTGAGTGAAAAAGATTTTTTTTAACTTCGCCTAACATTCATAAGACTATTAAATTATTTTCCATGAGCAAATTTGTGAGATATCTGACTCAGTCGAACGAAACACTCGGTTGTATAAACATAACCAAGATTTGCAGTACACCCCTTTAGGCTTGGTTTGTATTGATCGCTTTAAAGACGTTGCAAAAGCGATTTTCCTAAGGTAACTCACAAGTTAGACTGTAATCTTGATTCCCAACCATTTTTGATCTTCTTCTCTATTTGTTGTACAGAAAAGGAACAGGTGTTTCTCAACAAGTGATGGAAAAGTGCCGGAGTTTAAAAAGTATGGAGCATCATCCAAATGCAAGATAGATGACAACGGTCTTGGTGTTGGAATGAAACTCGCCAACTTTGTCTACACCAGGTAACCTGGATAGAGGCTCTTGCTCACATTCTCTTCAATCTTAATTGTCAATGCTAAAAATATGGCAAAGAATAAAAGCCAGAACAACAGAAGTAACAACTATTTATTTTCACTAAAGCATCTGAGCGGGCCGGAATCTTAAATTCTCAGATCTGATTGGCTAATCATGTCCTCGTAGCTGGTCCAGTTTTTTTATGATAAGGACTACGTAATGGAACTTCTTCCGTACCATTTACAGCAAAGCAGAAAAGGCAGACCAGCAGAGAAAAAAATTGGATTAGTTAATCACCAGTCTAGGTCAGTCCTTATAGGAAAAAAGCTGTAAGGGGAGGGGAGGGGGTTTGCACTGTCGCATTTAAATTCTAGAAAATTAGAAGAAAAAAATTAACAAAACACTACAGAAAAAACAATGATCAAGAATATAAGGCAAGTCACAAGTAAGATCAAATTTAAATAGCGACATTTAAATGACACGGCACAGTAGCTCAATATTAACATAAACGATATTTTTATTACCGTAATGATTCGATTTAGCTCCTGGGCGCTTTTTTACTTTTGATACCACAAGGGAGGGCGCCCATCGGACACAGGGGGCTTATTAGGGACAGGACGTTATTTCATCTTTTGAGGAACAGCATATTGTTCAAAACAAAGCTTTGACATTTATTTTAAAAAGCATAAAAACAGACTGGTTCCCCCTGGATCCTTCATGAACCTTCCTGGATAGAACGACCAGCGGCAGCCAAGAAATTGTCACAAAATTTTAAAATGAGAGATACATTTAATAGATGAGAGAGCTTATTAGAGAGGGTGCGAGAGGGTGCGCTTATTATAGCGAGAGCGGTAAATCGAATTATTACAGTATTACGATTATTTATCACACAGCCATGAAGATAAAACTTCTATTGTTAACATGATAAATCGAGTTTTTATTTTAAATCATCTTTTCTAATCTTTTTCTTAGGCTGTAAAGATAGACTCAATGCAGAAATGCAGCAATGCACAAAATGGATTGGATGGAATTAGAAGTTCTAGCTGAGTAAATTAAAAATCTTGTTGGGTTAAGGGTTTTAATTCATTAAAGGGTTAATCTGAACTAAATAAAAAACGCGGCACAAATGGGAAGAGTTTTTGTCATCTTTTATTGAAACTATTGCAGCCTTCTACATTAACTTGTTTTCCTTGTGAGGAATTCTCAGGCCATAAGTTCTTTGGACGCAAAGGGCGAACCTACTTTTTTTCTGTATCTGTTTGTTGCTTATGATTGGGACTTTTGACGTTGTCGTCAAGATTAATGTCGTAGTATAGTTGGTGTTTTCAGGCAATCGAACGGGTGATCATATGAAGATTGAAGTCTCCCACAAGATGGTTAGCATGAAAGAATTAAGACTCAGGAAATCTGAGAACTTCTACTGGGAAACGTTTATAGTTCTAGTTCGCCATGCTCAGACGGAAGTAAATTATTTTTCCCTTAAATACCGCAAATATAAAACCACGCACCTTAATGGTTGGATGCTCAGGTGAACCAAACTGACTTTTATTTCGCATTTAAGTTCAAATAGTAGTAAGTAATTAGTATAAAGCTAGAAAGTTATAATCGGATTTCTACAAACTCAGCGGCCAAGTTTCTTGTAAACCTATAGAAAACAGAAAGAAAACAGATATCATTGACGACTTTTAACTTTTGCAGTCTGTGCAACTTTAGCAATCTCTCTTAAAATATTCGCGACTACGGGAGCAACGGGTAAAGGAGGCTCGAGTCGCACACAAGACTATAAACCTAAAATCTCTTTCCCGTATTTCTTCGCTGTAGAGTCCGCCTTAGATCTTTTAAATGTAAAAATAAGATCCCCTTCGTGAAGCTTCACGCGAACTAGTAAAAACTTTCGTCTGCGTCAAAAAAAATGGCACAAAACGAGAACGATAAACAAAACATTAGACTTTACTCATTAAAATTGCAAAACTAAGGTACATTTAGGTATGAAAACAACGTGGCCTCCAAAAATGGCAACTAGCAACATTTAACGAAGACCGCCAACAAGCGGAGTGGTAATTCCGATTCGGCCAGTGCCCCTTCTTTGCGGAGTGGTAATTCCGATCCGGCCAGTACCCCTTCTTATCAGCAAACATAGTTCGGTGACAAGCGTCCCATCCATCGCCTGGATGGCCTAACCAGAAACGCACAATTATTCGCCAATATTAGTAGAAAGAAAAAAGCAGGTGCGTGGGCGGGAATTGAAGAAACGTCAGAATCAACAACGTCAGCGAGACTAATCGATCAATTCCGTAGAGCCCTAAATGACCACGCCAAAAAATCAGAAAATCATCTCTCGAGTTTTTTCAAATTGATATAAAATGTTCAGTAAAACCACAAATAAAGAAATAAAAACTTACACCCAGTAGACCATGGGCTAGGGAATATGAACAGTTATTTTTTTCTCTTGACCATGGAATACTCAAAATTATTGCGGGAAGAGCCATTGGAAGCCGGAATTTACTTTGCTTAAGCTTTACTGTAACTCAATCTCATTTAAAATTTCCTTAGTAATTTAAATAAACTTAAGATCTTCAATTATAATAATTATCCAAAATTTTAATCATTTAGTACAGTATTGAGAGAACATTTTGTAACTGTTCTCAGGAAATTATGTTTCGACAGCCGCATACCGCTTTGGTTTAGCCACACTGTTTCATTTTCCTTTCTCCGCGAGTGAATTGCGCCTCAAATTTTCAAAGTTCTCAGAAAATCTTAAAATAAACTACATAACATTCACGCGAGGAAATGATCGATTTGAGCGGTAGTTAGAGGTCTTAGAGTAATTGCGGGTAAAAAGCTTAAAAAAAATTGGGCCAGGACAGATTTCGAACCTTTCTTCAAAGTTTTTTTGAATGAGAGTACAATGTTTCGTTAAACTGTGGTTTAAAGGCGATTTATCACTTGGGCAAACACCCACATCCTTTCATGAAGTTCCCCTCATGGCTAACGCGGTCAAATTTTAAATTTTCCATTACCATCGTCCAAGCAATAAAACCTTTATTCAAACACACATCGACACCCTAAATTGGCATGTATCGGATCTACTTTGATGTCGATTAATGAAGATATGAGTATTCATTCATCGCCAATAAGTTGAGCCGAAACTCTGAGCAATAGAAGACGTTTATTGACCGAAGACAAGAAGCATATATAAAACGAACGAGCAGGCAAAAAAAGGTGACAAAGGAGCCGCGCTAATTATGCGCCAACCGTGTGACAATGAGGCTAACTAAACAACAGTGTGCATACGAGGCGGAACAATATAACAGACTAAACGACAACGTGCACAATGCGTCACGCCATGCGAGCTAACGGCGGGAACTAAACGACAATGCGAAATATGGCACATGTATTTGCGTTTGAGTTGCAGCTCTGTCATGTTTATCTTGATTAAGAGGGAACGTAAAAAAGCATTATTACCATTTTTTTGCCAATTGCATACGTCTATTTAACGCGGTTTAACAAGATTACGAAAATACAAATCTTGAAATACGGCCACAGAAACCTCCAATGATAGAAGAAGTTGACGTTAAGATGTGTTTTATGATGACGATTCTTTTGAAAAATTGTGAACGGATAGCCGAAATGTAGGAAAACTGCAATCAAACTCAAGCACTATTAACATTTTAATTTCCTGAAAAGCGCCGTTTTAACTAGTATGACGTTTTGCGGTTACCGCCATTATCATCAGACAAAAGCTCTTTTTCTCGCCTCAATCGCGAGGGGATCACGCAGATAGTCATAACATGTCATACAATTAAAAATAACGACACAAACAGAATATCTCTCATGAATGGTGATGTCAATTACTGGAAAATTCACCCCCAAGCTTCGTTTGCTCTAAAATGAATCGGTTTTTTATTTGGGTTCTGTATTGATTGCATTTTTTTGAATTCAAGTTGAAAACGTCCCCTTTGAATTGCAAATCTACTCTACATAATTTCTGATTTCAATACACGTACTGGTTTAAACAGTTATGGTAGTCAATCGGGAAACTGGAAGAGTTGTGCCTTAAGTTTTGTCAGTGATGCTCATTTGTCTGTCGGCTGGTTCCTTGAGCTGTTTAGCCGTATGGAACTTCTAAGAGCATTATTTTGTTTCTGCCAATTTTGTACGTTTATTCCTAAGCGGTGTGATGTGATTATATAAATACAAGTCTTAAAATACGAGCATAACGTCCCACCAAACTTCAGTGGGCTTCCTTGAAACCTCAGTTGGTAGAACAAGTTGTCGTTAAGATGTCTTATGTAATGACGTTTTGTTTGAAAAATTGATCCCAGTGAGAAATACACAAATCATCTCCTCCGCTTTTCTACTTGCAATGAGAACAGCGAGTTGCTCTCGATGATAGCTGCTAGGCGACCCGGCTCACTTTCTGGTTCAACCTCGAGAATGTTGAGAACATCATTAATAGCGTCTTTTTCATTCATATCCATTTTATATGTTAAAAGTCAAAATTTATACTGAAAGATGGCGAACCGAGAATCTGAGACGTGAATACTTTTCATTCTTGAGCTTTGCTATCAATTAATTCTGCTCATCTTTCATCAACTCACCCGCGTAATTGTTGAAAATGATCTTCATATCCTTAGCAGATGGTGTGTAGAAGAGAACTAAGGCAGCAGTGTTCTCTCCAAATGATTTTGTGATGCTTGTCATCTGTTGTGTGAAGACCCAAACGCCGATTTCCTTATGACTTGCTTGAATGGAATGTTATCAATATTCATATTTCTTATCGATTTAATTGATAAGCCCTTCGAGCCGGGCCGAGGAGTGGTAGTGACCATGAGTAAAAGTTGATATCCTATCTTCTCTTATTATTCTCTTATCAATATTAGCACTCAAAGAAATCTTGTCTATCTTCTCAGTGAAGACCTCGTGCTTAAGTGATCCGATTACATTCATTTTCCTCATTTCCATGTTTCCGCGAAATAAGCAGTCTTGTAGCCTTAATAAGTTATATTCCTCTTTATTAAGACTTTCTTAATACCTTTTCACTTTTTCTCCTCTTTTGCCTCAAACATCTTGTAGCTGTAGTGTTTGCTCTCAATCCAACAAAGTCTTCAACGACCTTTCCACCAGCTTCATCCTTCATCATTCTCACGACCTTCTTGTTGCGACCATTTGGGATCCCTGACACGCGATCTTTGGGGTAATTACTAGTGTCAAGCTTGTCTTCAACATCACCGCTTATATCCTTATAGAAGTCTTCAGTCGCAATCTCATACAGCAAGCTGTCGGTGTCTGTGAAGAGAAGCTTTGCACGATCTCCAGCCTTCGGTCAGGCCGCAGAGCTGCCATTCTTCTTCTTGATATAGTTATAAAGGAAGTCATACATCAGAGTCCTGCTGATATCAAGGATGCTCATTCCACTATATACTGGCTTATCAACTTAAGTTATGTCTTCTTTACATGAATCGCTACCAAATCTTTATTGAATATCGTGCAATGCTTGAAGTTTGGTTTCGCTGTAAGTTCTAGTGCTATCTTTCTATCTTTGACTAATCTCACACCTACTCAATTATTGATGTTTTCCACAGTTTTTGCGAAGACAGAGTTGTTCATCAACTTGAAGAAATCTTTCTCGAAGTCATTTTTCGTGCTCTCCCGTAAATTAGTATTGAGCTCGATATAGCTCTTAAGCCAAGTTTCTTCTTCGAAACTTGTACCTCTATGAATCTTTTTGATCCTCAAACCGAGATCAAGATATTGTTTCAGTGTCTTCTGATGAACTATGTATCTATCCTTATCCAGATTTGGAATCATTTTTTCACCTTATTTATCCTCAGTATCTCAGGAGCAAGCGGATAATCGTTTTACAATTCATGGAGCACTTTAGGATACTCAAGATCCACCTCAGGATGCAATGAATATTTCTCCAGTTGAATATTTCTCAAGGGTCAAGCTTATGACAACCGTTTCTGGATTCTTCAAACATATTTGCCAGTAGGAAAACATCCGTTTTGAGATAAAGGTCATGGTAATCACCCATCGTCTTCATTTTGAACTCTTTCCAGACCTTCTTTGCATTCTTGTAGTCTTCATGTGAGATATCACTGTCGTTAAGCTTAGAATAGAACTCTTCTTTGGGTGGCAGTTCTGTTTCATTAAACTTAGTGGTAGTATCCATGTTGTCATATAGGTACACACCTTTCCGCGAGACCAACTCGATTTTTGCTATGAAGACTTTCCTTTTTAAAAACTCAGTTTTGCGACTAAACTATCGAGGAAGAAGCCATGAACCCAAAGCTGTCGAGAAAGCAAAGCTCGTTTTTTACGTCAACTATTTTACCTTCTTTGCCGATGAAAGAACCAAAAACGATATCTTTGTTGAAACTGATGTATTTTTCCTCGTTATTTGGAATGCATTTGATGTTGTCTTCGGATTTGCCGAGATTTTTAACGAATAGATGAGAGTCATAGCCAGCCAAGTTGTGAATGATGACAGGAGTGAACTTCGGCTTCTTGAATCGTAGGTTGCATTTGTAGCGAGCTGCTCCACGATACCTCCCTGTGAATTGGCAGTGGTGGCTCACTCTGTCATCATCATTGTCAAATAAACGCTAGCAAATCCAGTAGTGCGTTGCATCGTTGAAATCATGCCGGTTTTCATCTGTGAAGGTCATCTTCTCGGCAAAGTCCAATTACTTAGAAATCTCCTTGATGTTTTCTTCAAGCTTTTCTAAAAGGATCCGACCAACATCTTCATCCTCACTGCCCCTGCAGGGGCCGACTGAAGGTTTCTTTACTTTGAAGATGACTGGCTCTTGTGAAAAAAGCTTATCATCCAAACTAACGATGTGATAACAGAACCCACATGGTTTCTGCTTTTGATACTGATTAGTGAAGCTCTTATCACTCCTGAGCTCGATTTTATCGATTATCGATTCTGTTAATTATTCAAAGTCATCGTAAATTAGGAATGGAACTCTTACAAAACGATTGTGATTCTTGAATTTGATATACGGTCTTATTCCTTCATCATTTACTTCCGGCATCACGATACGTCCTGCTTCATTATTTGAGCAGCATAGATCGTGAATTGCTAATTTTTCTTTACTTGGAAAGTGACTCAAACCTCTTCGACAGAAGGACAATGAACCATCTTGCTTTGTGACTTGTTTCGAGAATAACCTTCAACTGATTTTGATCAAGCAATAATGCTGATTTCCTTCTTCTTTTATCATAAGAAGATCGATGATTAGTTTTCCTTCCTATTCTCTGTTCTTCTTCTCACTGATCCTGAGAGGATAGACTTTTGTACCTTTAAGACCAAACAAATTGACCGCGATACCCTCATTCTGTTTGTCAAACCTATCAATATCTCGCAATTTTACTGGGAATTCGATCCCTGTGAAATTCAATTGGCTTGTCTTTCCTCTCAAGTCTGAAATCCTGTCAGGGTGTGACTTGAGAGGATTAAGTGCTCCTGCTATACACTACTTGAAGCATTGATTATCCTTGTTCTTGATATTTATACTGCTTTCTTCCTTTGGGTAAATTGGGAGTTTGATGTAAGAGCTGCCGTTCAACGATCTGTATTCTGCAGGATTGATGTCAAGTGATTTCACTCTTTGATATCTCCAGTTGCTTCCTCTTTGATTAAAATTCTGAATTCTTTTGTCAAATGTTTGCATAAAACATCCAATACTTGGGATTCATCTGTTGCCCTAAGACTTTTGATAACTTCGATGCGGAAAAATTTATCTTGAAGATAGAATGATCCATTATCATTTTCCCTTACCATCTCAGACGACAGGGTGAACTGGATTTTAGTCTCACGGTTGTCTCTCATTATCCTTGAGACTTCTGGTTTGGCTGTTTTTCATAGACACTCTCCATCCAAATCCTACTGCTCCGCCTTCTGGATCCAAAAGATCTTCAACACCTTCAATTCGAAATTGCCTTGTAAAACCTCTCCACCCAGTTACTGATTCATCAGCAACAAATTGTGTGCGGTCGACAATGTCGATTGAGCGAGACGGCTGTTTTTCTCTTAGTTTATTACCCTCAGCTTTGAATGACTTTTTCTACTTTATTAGCAGAGTATTTCTCAATAATTTATTAAAGAGGAAATGTGCCGTAAAATCTTTGACAATAAATATCCTGATGTCAGCCGCTCATGGCTTATGAATCATCGACAGGATTTTAGTGCGCGCTCACTTTTGATAAAACGGTTTTAAACAGATTTTCTCGCATCTTAAAAAATTTATCTGAGTTTAATTTCACTTACTTTTCGTTTATCTTTATAATCAGTCGTATTCAGAATGTGATACTTCCTTACACAAACCATTACTGTTCGGCTTCTTTGTTTTTTCCCCTTCTTTGAATATGGTTTGCTTGCTGTCCTCCTTTGTTGACGCTTCTTCTTTAATTCCCCTTTCAAAGTCCTAGTTTCATCACTTCTCTCCTTCTTCATTTCCAATCTCCTTCGGGTTCCCTCCATTCCCAAAATTTTCTTGTACTCTTCAAATACGATTATGCACGATCGTATAATATACGATATACGATCATCAATTATTTATCATGTAATTATTTATTTTTTATTTAATCATTATTTATGCACGGTAAAAAAATTCACCAGGAAAAAAATTCAAATACAATGATTAATATCCTGAGAACCTAAAAATTCTAATCCTTATTATATTAACTAACAGCAATGTGCCACTTAAACACCTGATTTCCATGAATGTCGTGTTTAAAAATTATGATAGAGAAGGTGTTTAAATTGGTTTAATGAACCAGACTCTCTATTGTTACATTAGGTTGTTTACGGAGTGCCTCAGAGAATAGTTTGATTCATTTCGCTCTATAAATTAGACGCGAGATATTCGGGAACCAGACCATAAAAAGACTTGAAAACCATTAAGGCGTTCTAAATTTGATTTCAAGTCTTTCCAACTGAGTTTGTGAAACAAGGAATCGACATCTACGTCAAAGTTTAGTGAAGTTATTGCATGTGCAGCACGGTTTTGTAGTTTTTGTAGCTTGTTAGATAATGGTTTGCCACAAATACCCCAGACTTGGCTGTAGTAATCAAAGTGAGATTGAACTAGTGAGTTGTATGCATTGAGAAGGGTGGATCGAGGCATAAATGGCTTAACTCGCTTTATGGCTCCAATAGCGCAAGCGATCTTTTTACGCAGTTCATCAATGTGGGAATGCCACGTTAAATTTTCATCGATATGTATTCCCGCCGAGGGATTTCACAGAGGAAACTTGTTCAATCAGAACATTATCTATGGAAAGTTCGAGTGTATCAGACAGGGTGCTTAATCGTTGCCTGGAACCGATCAACATAAATTCAGTTTTTGTAGCGTTCAAGATAAGTCTGTTAGACACAAGCCATATGCTAAGCTTTTCAAGGTCGTTAGATGTACTAGACTGAATCAAATGTGAATCAGAACCAGCATAAGTAATGTGAGTGTCATCAGCATACGTTCTAGGTACGCTGAACGATAGACAATTAGGCAAATCGTCAATATAAAGTAGAAATAATAGAGGGCCAAGGATCGTTCCCTGTAGCACACCACATTTAAGAATGATAAAGTCAGAGAGACAACCGTTAACTGAGCACCGTTGTGTGCGATTCGTCAAATACGATTTAACTAATCATGAGTTTTCCCTTAAATACCACACCGATTCATTTTAGTAAGTAATATCTCCTGATCTACAGTGGCGAATGCCCTTGTTGAGTCGAGAAACACTATGGCACTGACGTAGCCACCATCGATATTAAACACCCAACTGTCAGTGGCTTCAAGAAGAGCAGTAACAGTTGAGTGTAAAGACCTGAAACCAGATTGTTGTTTAGAGATGATTTATTCACTATTTTAGATTTAAGAAGTTGTATAACTGATCCTACACAATCCTCTCGAACACTTTGGCGACTACGGAATTGACTGAGGTAGGTCGGTAGTTGTTTAAATCAAATGAATCGCCTTTTTTAAACGACGGAGTCACTCTAGTAAATATTCAATAGTCTGGAAATATGCCAGACATTAGGGATTTATTAAATAGATCGCATAACGGACTTGAAATAATATCAGCACAGTCACGAATCAACCTAGCAGAGATACCACCTAGCCCTGTAGCTTCAGTTTTTGACAATCTATTGAGATGAGTCAAGAAAACACAGAAGTAGTTGGACGAAAACCTGAGAATTTGTTGCAATTTTCAGGAATATTGTTTAAATAAATAGACCCTTCGTCCAATTTTACTTTCACTTCCTTTACTATCTGGTTGTTCGAGACATGAGGTTGTTAATGGTTCTCCGACTTCGACGTCGTTTAATTTCAAGAAGATCAGCCAGATCATTGTCAAGAAGGATATGCTTATTTTGAGGATTGAGGATTTCCAATACTTCTTTCAGACTATTCATTTCAACCTTCACCCTTCACTCCTTCACTCTTTAATGTATCTTGAAGAGCGAAGGAGTATGGGTTTTGATTGAATAATCACCTTAATTCAGGAATTTTTTTTTTCTAGTTGGAGTGCCTTGTGCATTCATTACAGGGACTCAACCAACGACCTAAATTATACCAAATGTTGAAAAAAAGAACAGCTTAATAGCCTGATATATTGCTATTTTTCGCTGCATAGCAGCTCTTTGAAGCGAAGTGTGTGATCATTTGAATCTACAATAATTTTCAGAACAACCATTTTATTTATAAAACAAAAAAAATCTACTGCTTTATAATTTTTTTCTAACTTACCACTTCACGAGAATTATCTTAAAATCTGATGATCTGCTGAATTCTATGTTCTCGCTTAAAGGCGAACAGATGTGAGCTCATCGTCCAACTTTGGTTGTGGACATAGTCGTATTTTGTTCTACTATCGTGTTATAAAATGTATTACTTCCGTTTCTATTTCTAATTCATAAACCAATATAGAATCAAATACATCTATGCTCAAAGTTATTTTATGTATTCAACAACACTCAACATTCGATAATATGGATTGTATCTTGCGTTAAGCGCATGTGCAAGAATGACGTAACGTGGACGAAGTCCTCGGTGATAACTCTACACAGCTTTTTTTGATGACGAAAATTCAAACAGGTTTTATAAAGGTGGTTTATTACCATCTAACCTCTGGTTAAGGAATCAAATAGTTGAGTTTGGCTACAGTCCCCAAAATTTAACAAATTTCCAAGAGAGGTACCTGCCCCCCAACGGGAGCTTCATGTTCATCGCTACGTCTTCTTGTCGTTTCATACATGATAAAATTAATGATTCTTCGCCGTGTAAATAACAATAGTAATCTGGGAACATAAGATACGGAGGTAGTTACGTTGAATTAAAACAAATGAAAATGCTTTCGGTCCGTCATATCGAACTTAGTCAAAATGCCAGTTATTAGCGACTAAAAATCACTCCTTTTAGCCTCTGTTTCTTGGTTACCATACCTTCTAGAAAAGAATCTTTTTTTAAAAACTTCTCTTGAAAGAGAATACCTTAGTATGGGCAAATAATGATGAATACATTTAGATAATTGCATTAAAAAACTGAATAGAAAATAGAACCTTGGAAGTGAAAAAGATAACTTTCCTAATTTTTTTTATCTCCGCTTTATACATTTCCTTTTTATTTCTGCAGTTCCTCCTCCGTGATATTTGTTTTTATGGCAACAGGTGTAGCACATATAAAATGTAATTTGGTAATAGAAATACTTTGATTTATGTCTGCCAAAACACAACGGACATGATGAATACATTTAGATAATTGCATTGAAGAAACTGAATAGAAAATAGAACCTTGGAAGTGAAAAAGATAACTTTCCTTTTATTTTTAATTTTCTGGGTGTATGCAATGATTTGGTTCTGGAAAGTCGCCTTGACAGACCGGACAGGATTTAAAAGATTATCTATTACTATCTAAACTTTAGTTAAGGAATCAAATAATTGAGCATTTGTTTTGGTCGCCATTTCCAAAATTTAACTAATTTCCTAGAGAGGTACCTACCCCCCCTTACGGGAGCTTCATGTTTCATCGCTACCTCTTGTCATCGTTTCATACATGATAAGATTAATGATTCTTCGCCGCCTTAATACGATAAAAATCTAAGAACATGAGATACTGAGTTGGTTGAGTAAACTAAAAGGAATGATAATGCCGTCCGGTCCCTCATATCGGAGAGAGGGCTCGACTTAGCCAAAATGGCGGTCACTCGTTTTAGCTTCTGTTTCTCGGTTACGATACCATCTATACAGAATTCTCAGTGGCAGTCCGGAATTTCATTTAAATTTAAGTAGTATTAGAGCTTCTCTTGAAAGAGAACACCTTGGCATGTACAAATAAAATGAAACTGAGTGGTCAGATGTACAGATCTGCTAATTCACTCAATAATTCATTAAGCGTAAAAGATTGTTGCGGAAAATTGCAAGATCTTTTAATGACATTATTACAAAATAGAACCTTGGAAGTGAAAAAGATAACTTTCCCTTTATTTTTAATCTCCACTTTATAAATTTCCTTTTTATTTCTGCAGTTCATCCTCCGTGATATTTGTTTTTATGGCAACAGATGTATCACATATAAAATGTAATTTGGTGATAGTAATATTTTGATTTATGTCTGCCAAAATAAAACGGACATGATGAATACAATAAGATAGTTACAATAAAAAAATTGCAGCGAGAATTTTAGAAGTATTCCAAGAAACCCCATGCTGAGGATAGACTACTCGGTAAGTTTAACTGAAGCTTTGCTGTTGATTTCCTATTAACTGTTTAGATATATTATCCTTTTCGCTTAATTAAAAAATAATCGTCCTCCTGAGTCTCTCCTAAAACCACGAGAGTTTCGGGCTACCTCTCTTCTAGAAAACAATTTGAAGAGCTTTGATCAACTCACGCAGTGTTGGACAAGATTTGTACGTAGATGGGTGACTGTATAAACTATCCTTGCTGTAAACGTTCTTTACCTTTATTTACTTGACCGTATTCACTTCCAAGTTGAGATTACAAATGTTTTTAAGCTTCGTAAACTCGAGATCTCATCACACAAAGTTTTGGAAACTGATGTAGCCTTATGGAGAATCGAGAACTCTTTAGCGTATTGCTAAACCTGACTGATCTAGGAGTTTATGTTTTACGCGTTAAAAACTGTGCAAAAAAAAAATGCTAATGTTTAAAAGAGGATTTAGCGGGTAGAGGGTCTGGTAAAGTTTTGCCTTGGATTAGAAACTACAAAACAAAACAATAATGGGAAATGCGAATGAAATGGATAAAATTTGTAATTTTTTGTCTGGTCTCGGCTGCTTCCGCCGTAAATCAATTGAGCCTGACTGAGGTTGTTGAATTCACATGAAAATATTCAGTCAAAGCAAAGTGAAAAGAAACATTGAAACTTCAAAAAAGCATCCATTGGAATCAATGAATTTTTTAGATCAAATCAAAAAGCTCTTTTCAAACCAAGTTAAAACAATTTCGCTCTGCTTAGCTTTTGTTACAATTAATTTACCTTGGGTCATCCCTACATCAATTGTTTTAAAGAATATGAGTGGCCGTAAATCACACCGGTCTGATGAAAAGGTTCGTTTATCAACCAGAGCTCTCCGGCTGGCTCAGTAAATTCTTAGGTTAAATCTATCATTCTGATGAAATATTTAATTTACAATTGGTAAGAACTTCCATTACATTTGTTGTTTCGTTCTGTTAAAATTAACCCTGTAGAGAACATGATACCCAGGAAAGCCTCTTGAATGTGTTTAAGACAAAATCTTAACCAAGATCTTTGTTCCTAATGAAACCGGAATTGAAGGAATATATTCTGGCATGTACAAACAATCCTAACTGTTATATGACAAACTAAAACTGCTTATTTACGTCCTTTATTGGCGATATGAGTAGGAGGTGAAACCACGCCTAATGATGATGATAAGGGCCCGTTAAACCATCACAATACAGAACTATTTGAAGTGAAAAAGATATTTCGTCCATTTTTATCTCCTTTTTTTCAGATATTTCCTCTCTATGCCATTTATTTCTATATCTGTACACGGCTCCTAATAACGTATAAATAACAAAATTGTTTACATCTCGTAATGTAAATACTTTACACCGTGTTGAGCCACAGGTAACCCAAGCTCCAGCTGTGAGATGATTATCTTGCTAAATAAGAGTCATTGTGAAATCATACTAGTTTGGATGAGAATCTTTCCGACCGCTCTTAATGTTTCACGGGAAAGATTGAGTTTGTAGTAAATTGAAATGAGACTACGGTGTATGTGCTTGGATTCTGCATTGGATTTGTTGCCGCCCTCTTATTTTGACCTTGGATTTTTTGCTTCTCGGATCGGGCGTTCGGAAATGGAGTGTGCAGACTTGGGCTTCTCGCCTCTCAGCTCTCCTGAATAACGTTTTAACTACAAACCTTTTTATGGCAAATAGGCGTGAGAGTCGAAAGCGAGGTATTTGTCAGTGTGGGTAGATATTAATGGCCGGTTATCGAAACAAAATTTAGCCGCTGTTTGACGAAACCGCGTCCTCAACAATCCTCAATTTAGCTGGGCCTTTTATCTGAACATTTGTTTTTGTGAACAGTGTCAAGAGGGCTGAAAGCTAACAGTGGAAGGAAATTTATTTAATTCAACCCTCTCATAGAGAAAGCGTGAGGCGCGCTGACTAGGTAACACCGTGGTCGTGTAAATAACCGGCCCGTTAACTGTCTTATGAGGCAGATTTCGTACTGACCAGATGACAAAGGAATCCGCGATACTCCTCTTTTCGAGTTAAATTTCTAAGTTTTCCTCAATGAAGTGTAGATCAATGTAACACTCCCTTTTTGACAGTATTCAATTTGATCAACAGGTTGGCAATGCTAACTAACATGCTCTCTCCCTCTTTGAGCCTGCCTCTCTTTGACCTAATTCTTAGCCATGTCTGACGTATTTTTTCATTTTTGAAAACTCCCCCTCTACATTTCAAATTTATTTCGCTTTTTTTCTGATCTCATTTTTGAATGACGTTTTTAAGCTACATAATGATAAATAATTGCCCTAGAACAGTAAATCAATTGCAATCTAAACTTCTGAAATTTATTTGAATAGTTGTAAAATTAGACTGGCACGTTCATGAAAAGGTTTTGTTTATTTGAACTCTCCGCCTAGCGTAATCAATTTCTAGGTTAAATCCAGTAATCTGATGAAATGATTCAATAATAATTCATACGAAATTCTATTTGTTTTGTTTAAATCAACTTTCTAAAGAACTTAGTACCGACTAATGGTAAGCATCCTAAATGTGAGTTTCTTGCTCGCCAAATTGTACAACGAAAACACTCCGTGAGTAACATAACCATAACTAGAACATTTATTTGTAGTTAGAATGAAATTGAAGGAACATATTCTGGCACGACCAAACAGACCCATGTATATGAAAAACTACTGCAATTATCAAAATTTTGTTATGCAAATATATGTAGTGCATCAATACGTTAGGCAATATAGTAACTGGCTCTCATTTTAGTAATACCGCTAGTAACAGTCCGATAAGCAAAGAAAGGCAGGTAAGTTTCATTCAATGTCACCCTACGAGCCCTTCAATTGTTATTTTTACGTTAAAACTATGAGAGAATGAGACTGAATTACCAAAGATTATCAACCAAACGCTTTTAAAGCATCTTATAGAAAATGTTTTTCCGTGATGAACAGTATCAATTAAACGCCTTGCAAAACCCTATCGGGAGTAGAGAAGAGACATTAAAAGTAACAACAACAGTATTGTACAAGTTGTACTAGCAGATGGTAAAGTATTTTGAGTACGCTTTTACGAAAAGCACTAAGGACTCTCGACCTGTCTTTTCTCGGTCTTCGTACGTATCTTTTCTGTAAAACGAGCTTACTTACAACAAACTCATTTCAATCTGGTTAACTCTGTTCGTCTCCGTAACTCTGTTCCCTTCCTCGCTCTTTCTCACTCACTGATTCTCACTAGGTAAACTCTATTTTAAATACTTACATATTCGCTATTGGAAGGCATCAGTGAGCACGATGGCTTACTGATTTTGGAAGATTAAACATTTGTTGGCAGAACACTATAACCCTCACGCTTTTACAAAAATCTAACAAATGAACAACTTCGCACTTGAATGCTTCCCATCATCCAAATCGGTCTTTCACCGAGTTCATGTGGCACCAGGTTTTCTTTCACATGGGGTTTCCTGCTCTGTGCGCTTGAGCTCTGCTGAGATTTATTCATGATTTAAACGAAATACGCAGCTGCTCTGGTAATTTGCTGTCTAAAGGCAAAAATCATCTGCTGATATATGGTAGCAGGATTGTTCCATCAGACCACAAGATCTGCAAACAGTTTTACTTTACTTACAAAATAACGATACCATTGTCGACTAGGAATTCAGCTTTTTATATGAAAAAACAAAAACAAAACAAAAAACAGTAAAAGAGCTGACGCAATTTATCCCCTCATAATTTCAGGTTTCAGAGCGTACAACAAGAAATTATGAAGTCATCGCCAACATATATCTTCACACTAATCGTTTTGAGTGTGAATATTTTTTGTGGTAAGTGCTCAAACTCAAGATTATATACTCGAAAAGTACCAGATACACTGCCTTGGTCCTGATTCATTCAATTGCATATGCATTGTGAGTTTGAAGAACACATCTGCAAAAAAACACTAGTCAATTTGATCAGTGGGGTGATCAGTGCTTCAGTTATCGTAGGATAATCCATTAAAATTGGCCGGCTGTAAGAAACAAAATAGCATTCAACGCTGACCCTTCACAACACCGACAACCTCCTTTCAGGATTACAAGAGAGTTTTTTTTTCCATGAAATCTATGCCACCGTTAATAAAAACAGGCATAGTTTCTGATTATGCACAAAGACGGGTCTCGATTCATTCGCATGCACTTGCACTGACGAGTTTGATGGAGACACCTACGTAAAGCGTGTATAAATTTTAACAAAGCATCATCAAATGCTTCTGTTTCCTCATGGAGATGACTCTTACTGCTGTGAATGTACCGACGGATATGAAGGACAAAATTGTGAAGAAGGTATAGGCACGATAAGTGTAGTCGTTTCAGACATTTTTTGCGCATAGAGACTACTACTTTGCCAATCGTAATGGACTACTACTCTGCCAATCATAATTTTTCATTCGCATAGTGAGCTCCTGCAAATCACATAGATGTAAAAATAGTAGAACATCCACAATGACGGATCTTGATTCTTTCTCATGCTTCTGTTTCCTCCACAGTGCTCCCTTGTCCACCTGCCAAGAAGACGGACGATCCTCAAGGTCGTTGCTGTGGTTTTCCTTTTGTGTATAAAGGGATAACTTACCAATCTTGTACCAAGGTCGGTTATCACAGATTGTGGTGTTCATTAGACGAAGGAGAGTACAAAGGACAGTGGGCTAACTGCGGTAAGCAATAAAAATTACAAATTCAGCAGTTTTGAATACCCAGAGAGGTTTTTTGGAAATAATTGTTATCAAAATTGGCCAGTTGTAGGAAACAAAATAGCATTCAACGCTAACCTTTCACAACATCACAACATCAACAACATATCAATAGTTGACAGTCAACTAAATGTGTTTGGTTTCCCTCAGCGAAAAACAAAATGTTCTCTAGACACCAATCATTACCTTTGATGTGTCAACAGCACTTAAATACCTTTGCATATTTCATTTACTAAGATAAAGCCCTTCATGTTTAAGGTAATTTTCTGTTTGGAAAAAGTTCTACTTATCTCAACAAATGAATAACCGAGGCCCCCTAATGCAAAGTTTTGTTATGAACCTTAGTGAACCCGTGCACAGACAACCCTTGCCAAAATGGGGGAGTCTGCACTGTAACTGGAGATGACTCTTACTGCTGTGAATGTACCGACGGATATGAAGGACAAAATTGTGAAGAAGGTATAGGCACGATAAGTATAGTCGTTTCAGACATTTTTTGCGAATAGAGACTACTACTTTGCCAATCGTAATGGACTACTACTCTGCCAATCATAATTTTTCATTCGCATAGTGAGCTCCTGCAAATCACATAGATGTAAAAATAGTAGAACATCCACAATGACGGGTCTTGATTCATTCTCATACACTTGCACTGACGAGTTTAAAGGAGACGCCAGCAAAAAGCGTGAAGGAATTTTAACAGTGCATCAGCTATGTTAAGCTAATGCTTTTGTGCACGTGTAGATTGATTTAAAAAGAACGTGACACAATTATTGTGATTCCTCTACAGTGCTCCCTTGTCCACCTGCCAAGATGACGGACGATCCTAAAGGTCGTTGCTGTGGTTTTCCCTTTGTGTATAAAGGGATAACTTACCAATCTTGTACCAAGGTCGGTTATCACAGATTGTGGTGTTCATTAGACGAAGGAGAGTACAAAGGACAATGGGCTAACTGCGGTAAGGAATGAAAATTACAAAAACTGAGCAATTTTGAATACCTAGAGGGGTTTTTAGGAAACGATTGTTATCAAGATTGGGTGGCTGTAGGAAACAAAACAGCATTCGACGCTAACCTTTCACAACATCGATAATCTCTTTTCAGCATTATGAAAGAGTTTGTTTTTCTCATAAAATCTAGGCCACTGATCATAAAAACAAGCGAAGTTTCTGATTGTGCTGATATGGAGAGTTAAACGAGAACTGGTTTAGAACTGGCTATCAATTCTCTCTGCTACTCACCGAGTTTGTGTTGACTTAAAAAACATTTATTGAGTGGATTTTGCTTACCCTCTTCAGTAAGACCTGCAAGGGGAAGTACAAATGCCAAATACCAGAAAAATACTTTTTTAAGAGCTTTAGTTTGTGATTTGTTCATATGCCAATATTTCAAAATAATCTATTGGCAGTTTTATTTGATAGTCCACTAGGTGTGTTTGGTTTCCCCTAGCGAAAAACAAAATTTTCTCTAGACACCAATCATTACCTTTGATGTGTCAACAGCACCTAAATATCTTTGCATAATTCATTTCCTGAGATGAAGCCCTTCATGTTTAAGGTAATTTTCTGTTTGGAAAACAAATCCACTTACCTTAACAAATGAAAAACCGAGGCCGCCTAATGAAAAGTTTTGTTATTAACCTTAGTGAACCCGTGCACATCAGACAACCCTTGCCAAAATGGGGGAGTCTGCACTGTAACTGGAGATGACTCTTACAGCTGTGACTGTGCCGACGGATATGATGGACAAAATTGTGAACAAGGTACAGGCACGATAAAAATGGTCGTTTTAGACATCTTTTGCGCTGCCAGTCATAATGTTTCATTTCCTTAGTGAGCCCCTGTAAATCGCATCCATGTAAAAGTAGTGGAACATTTACAATGACAGGTCTTGATTCATTGTCATGCACTTGCACTGACGAGTTTGAAGGAGAAAGTAAAAAATGCCAACTACCAGAAATACTGTTTTTAAAGATTTAGTTGGGATTTGTTCATATGCCAATATTTCAAAATAATCTATTGGCAGTTTTAGTTGATAGTCAACTAAGTGTGTTTGGTTTCCCCCAGCGAAAAACAAAGTTTTCTCTAGATACCAATCATTTACTTTGATGTGTCAACAACACTAGTACTTAAATACCTTTGCATATTTCATTTACTGAGATAAAGCCTTTCATGTTTAAGGTAATTTTATGTTTGGAACACTAATCCATTTACCTAAACAAATGAATAACCAAGGCCGCCTAATGCAAAGTTTTGTTATGGATCTTAGCGAACCCATGCACAGACAACCCTTGCCAAAATGGGGGAGTCTGCACTGTAACTGGAGATGACTCTTACAGCTGTGAATGTGCCGACGGATATGATGGACAAAATTGTGAACAAGGTACAGGCACGATAAAAACGGTAGTTTAAGACATTTTTTGCGCAGAGACTACTAATTTGCCAATCATAGTGGACTACTACTCTGCCAATCATAGCGTTTCGGAATAAAGCAATGGTGTGTAACTTTCGAGCTTTTCCAAAAAATCGCGGCCCCTTAACCTCGCCGATTTGGCTGAAATTTGGCCTGATTTTACAGTCCTAACCACGAAATGGGCATTAAAACGTTCTTGTTGTTTCTGCTTGGTATTTCCAATGTTACCTCGATACCTCGATCCAGAAGTGCCATTTACTTTGGACAATGTTTGTTCACAGTACTTATTTCGTCCCGAATGAGATCAAATTCCGGAAGTTTTCCGAATATTATGGAGGTAACTGTTGATTTTAGGCAAAAGCAAATATCTCTGCGCGGCATTACCGCAATGGGATAAATATTGATTACCCAATGAATGTAAAAACTCGATCAGGCATTAACGCTCGGAATGGTTGATTTCGCCTACCGTTTTGAGAACGAAAATTTTTGAAAAAGGAAAGATTCCCATGAATTCCAACCAAGTTCGTTTGGTGGTGATTGGTGATTTACTCAAATCTGATGCCTGTAAGCTACACTTCGCAGTTGATCCTACTTGTCACGCCAACGGTTTAGATATTTGGTAAATTACATCATGTTTTTGAGTGGGTCTTAATTTCGTTTATGTTGTTATGGTATGTTTAAATATTTTTATCGGTATAAAGAAAATCCAACCTTTCGGGATGCTTCCTTGCAATTATTTTTCTTTTTTTCACTAAAGATGAGCGCAAAATGAGTACATGAGCGCTCTCACGAAGGACAATGACATGAATTGAGTGTTGTTTGAAATAAACATCACCTTGTTGGAATGCGCACGTAATCACTACTTCAGTTTACTCTAAGATCTATTTTACTTTGAGAGACTATTCGTGAAGGATATTTTCTAAAACTCCTTTCCATGGGTCTAAACTAGCTTAACACCTAGTCTATATGAAAAACGGAACAACGAATTCGAATTAAATCCTCATTCATCACTGAACTGTCGGTTGTAGCGAAAACGAAGACATCTATGACACAGAAACTAAGAAACCATATTTCATTTATTTTTTGGTGGTAAAGAGAGAGGTAAAGAAGTGGCATAGGTACGATGCATGTCGTTTTTTTAGCTTGATAATGGTAACAAGTTCGTAATGTGTTCTCCTTAAATCGGTCAGTCCAATCATGACTTTAAGTTTTACTGAGTGCCGTGTTTTGCATCTCATTTTAGTAACAAATACCAACCCCTGACACAGACTTTTTCAAAAAGGGAGTATATGTAGACCAAGACCAAAAAGTAACGCAACATATAAATTCGAAGCTTCAACATCCCCTTCCCCGGGCAACCGACGGGTATTTTATTGTCGTCGGTGCCCAGGGATAGGAAATTTGAACCTTTCCTGACTGGGGTGGCGAATTTGAGCCGGAAATGTCAAGTATTTACAGCGGAATACACGTGTTTTGTCGTAAAATGTGAAGAGAGTTAAAGACTTCATTTTCGCGAGCGAATGTCTCAGAAGTAAAGGTCTACAAGGTCTAGAGTTCTAAAGCTTGGTAAATAAGTAGAAAGTCACGGTCACTGAGTTTTCCTTTTTGAAAAAAATGAGCTTGGGTAGGGCATTTGAACATAATTTTGGCCCCGAGGACGAGAATTTGAAGGAACTAATTTCAAGGATTTAAATACCGGGTGGGGCGGAAAGGGAGTTGAAGTTTCGAATTGATCGACGCATAAGCATGAAATTTGTCTCAGTGCCTACTCTAGCCAAAATGAAATTGAATTTCGCTTCTCAAAGGAGCATCAACGACGTTCGGGCTTTATGTCTCGAGTATACCGTAAATTAACAATTGGTTCATACGTCAGCGTGCGTTCATCGAGATATGAAGCACGCGGGAAGTCTGGAGAGCACGAAAGATGTGTAAGAGTTGCTCGAGGCGTAGCCGAGAGCAACTCTAGCGTCTAAACTAATTTCTTTTTTTAGTAAAATCCTAAAGTAAAAAATCGCGGAGAAATTTTTTTTCTCGAGGGATTTGTTTGCTGACGTCATGAGCGTGCACAATAGGAATATGAAGCACGCTCACGCAATTGAATTTGAGTAGACAAATTTACTAGCTATGTTATGAAGGGATTTACAATCGCTCGAGGCGATGGTATGTCCGAAACTATCTTCAGCAAACCTCGAGAAACCACACTTGACCAACATTATTCTAGAGCATTCTCTTCGCAAAGAGCTAGGAAATAAACTGAAGTAAAGAGGGAAATTGATCACTAAAATAATAAGTTTGGCTATCTGTTAAAAACGACAAACATTTCCAATATTGTAGCTCAATGATACCAACAGATTTTGCTACAAAATCAAAACAAATTTCAATTTTCGTACTTGTTGTGGGCAACATTGTAAACGAAGCATGAAGGACAGTAAAATAATACAAAAAAAATTACCTTGTCCAAACAGGATCCTCAGATAAAGCAATAAATTTCCATTTTCAGGCTCAAGAATAAACTTGATTGCCTGTACATTCCCACCAGTTCAAGTCGATGTCTATCCCCAACCAAATTCCGTTTCGTGTGTGCGGCCAGTGCCAGAGTGTATTACGTTGGCATTTAAAGCTTACTTTTGGTATAAATGCAAATTATTCTAACGGACTTGCCAAAAGGTTGGGGTTTTTCTTATGCTGTAAACTTGAGGAAATGGCAAAATACCCCTGTTTCAAACATGATGAATTCGCATTTGCGCGACAAGTAAGTACGGTATTGTTAATCTTAAGTTTGCTGCGATTTAAGTCAAATAAATGACCAGCTGCTATCACCAATCATCAATATATCAGAATAAGAATGCTTCTTTTCCAAAATCCTTTGTTCTCAAAACGTTTAATTAGCTACCAAAAGTCATCCCATTGCAACAATTTTGCTTGAACATCATTACAATATAGTAAATTAAAACATATTTCCAATATATTAGGAAACTTTTTGGATGATAAATGTACTTAAACCGTTTTCTTCTGAACGTTGAATTGATCTAAGAGCTGTTAGGACCACGCCCAAACATAGCCAGGTCATTACGGGTTGATAATTTTTTTCCTTCACTGTTTCATTTCCCCAATTTTTTTATTAATGAAATCTGTTCATCTATAGACAAACGTTGTTTAAAGTAAATGGTAACCCCTGGATCGAGGTAACACTGGAGATGTTAGGTTACTAAGTTGGGGTAAATTTTTCACTGTTCAAGGTGGCCTAAAGCCACCCTAAAATGTTGGAATCATCTGTTAGTAAAACCAGACATTTGCCATATGTTTTAAAATAAATTTTATGAGGAAGGAAAGATCGTTTTATAGATATCACGAGATTTCAAGAAATCTTTACGATAGGACTCGAGTTGAATTTAAAAGATCACTTTCGATGCGCTATATTGATGGGCATGTATGGGCAAACCAAGTGCACTTTCCCGTTTTTTTGTCATGCAAAAATAACTGGAAGTTTTTGATATCCATTCCGTGATTAGGACCCTAAAGCAAGACTTCATGCCAAATTTCAGCCAAATCGATGAAATGAAGTGGCCGACGAAAGTTCGAAGGTTACAGACTATCGCACTTAATAGCCCTCAAAACGTATCTTTCACCAAAGCAAACAGGATGCCGACAAGTTTTTTACTTACTTTAACAACTGTTAAATTCATTTTGGAATCTCTCGGCTGACAAACCTCAGATACATTTTTACCACAGATCAAATCCTCTTCTAACCATGCATCGTTTAATCCCGTTTGCCTTCAAAGTAGGATTCGGAGTATTTCCACAAGAATCAAGGATTCACCCAGATTAGTTTTTTTCAGTCCTTATGTTTCTGCTGAGACCTTGGGTGGAAATTTTTAACAATATATAGCCATACATGTACTAAAAAAGTCGGAATTCTCGTTGGACAGATGCTTTCATCCATCTGTTTGTTTGTTTTTTCCACCAGACCCGGACTCAAGTTTTTCCCCAAGAGTTGAGGGTTCACCAATATTTTTTTTCAGTCCTATATGTTTCTACCGGGACCTGAGGTGGAAATTTTGAACAATGCATAGCCAAACATAGACTTCAAAAGTCAGACTTTTCAATTTACAGATGTTTTCATCCATATCTTTGTTTGTTTTTTCCATCAAATTCGAGCTCAACATTTTGGCCCATTGACTTCTTCCAAATTCTTTTGTTGTAGTCGCCTGGAAATCTGAAGGATGTTTCACGGAGCACAAGAAGAAAGCGAAAATGGTCCTCAAAAGAAAAATCGCTACCGTTGGTGGAAAGAAACTAAGCATTCAGGATGTATTTGATGAGTGCAAAAGTGCAGCGGAGAAGAAAGGTTTCAAGATTTTTGGTATTCGGGTGAGTACAAAAGATTTTTTTAACTTAGCCTAACATTCATAGGACTATTTAAGTGGCCCGAGACTTCCCCAAAATTCAACGCTTGGTAGTAGTTGTGTGAGATATCCGACTCAGTCGAAAGAAACACTCGGTTGTATGGGTATAATCAAAATGCATTACACTTTTCATGGCTACTGCCTCCTATGGAGGCGAAGCCATATTGTTTTCCTGTTGAGTGAGTGTGGGTAACGAAGTCTGCCGAATTTTACCTGATATTCCTCGCTCTTGACTTTTGTTTGTTTCGGAACATCTTCGATCGTTCAACTCCTTGTGACGATTTCTTCGAATCGCTTCGAATGTTACACGGAATATTATCGGGTGATCATACTGTTTTTCGGTACCAAGTTATTGTTTGTCTCGTAGTGTACTACAGAAGACGATAAACATCTCACAATCATTTCAGGATGGCACGTGAGAAAAGAAAGCTTTACCTTGCAGAAATGTCCAAAAAGGACTGATCGGCGCATCATGAAAATTTAGAGGAAAAATTTTTTCTATAAAGAGAGAAAATTTTACTGTTTGAATCAGCGAATTATTCCCAGTAGATCTGAATTTTTCCAGTTCTAACTGTGACACCACAAAAGATGATAAACACCTCAAAATAATTTCACAGTGGCGTCTCCGGCACGTAATTGAAAAAAAAAAGAAAAGACTTTTTCCTTGCAGAAATATCTAAATAGGTTTGATCTGCACATCGTGGAAACTTTGAATACGAAAACTGTACTTACCCGAAAGAAAGAGATCAATTTACCATTTCAATCAGCTACAAATGCTCAAAAGAGCAGCTAAAGTTGCGAAGCGAGCAAGGTCCGAAATAGGACACGTTAAGTTCATCAGGATGACGCCATTCGATGGAATGATGGAATAGTGGAATGGCGGAATATTCTACAACACAGAATGCCTTATTGTATGAAACAAAAGTCGCACAAAAAATAGAATTGCAATGAAATGAGAAAATGATTTATAATTACCTGGCAAATCAATCTTGAAAGAAGGCTAGTTTAATCATTATAGGAGCCAAGGGATAGACCGACAGAGGAATAGTCAGGTTCTTGAGCTAGCCCCTATAAGTTATTATTACTATTACTTTTGTTATCATCATCATCATTATTATAATTTTTATAATTTTATTATTAATATGATAACTTGTTACCATTTCATTAGTAGTTGAGTATCAATTATTCCCTATATTCTTGAATCATCTTTCTCTTGTGGAACAAGGCTCTCATAAGGATGTGGGATGCTGCACGTTTTCCGTTTTGCATGCGAAACAAATCTTCTGCAACGCTATCTCATCACCATACAACCCCTGGTTCTTTTCAATGCTACAATAAATTGTGCTATATCAGTAGCCATATGTAGTCTTAACGGCCTATTTTTTTATGTTTGGTTTGTAGTGATCACTTTCAAAACGTTGCAAATGCGATTTTAACTCGCAAGGTAGAATGTAATCTTGATTGCCAACCACTTTTACTCTTCTTCTCTGTCTGTTGTACAGAACAGAAATAAGTGTTTCACAACAAGTGATGGAAAAGTGCAGGAGTTTAAAAAGTATGGAGTATCATCCAAATGCAAAATAGATGACAACGGCCTTGGTGTTGGAATGAAACTCGCCAACTTTGTCTACACAAGGTATCTTTGACGAGGGCTCTTGCTCACATTTTCTTAAATGTTAATTCTCAATGCTAAAAGTATAGCAAATAATAAAAGCCAGAACAAGAGAAGCATCTGAGCGGGCCGGAATCTTAAATTCACAGCTCTGATTGGCTAATCATGTTCTCGTAGCTGGTCCAACTTTATATGATACGGACCACGGTACGGATTTTTTTCCTTACCATTTACAGGAAAGCAGAAAAGGCAGACGAGCATAGAAAAATGGATTGGTTAATCACCAGTCTACGTCGGTCCGTATGGGAAAAACTGTGCCCTTGGTCTTGGGAACTCAAGTCCTCGGGCACAGAATTTTCTATACGATGGGAGTAGGGGTATTTTTATTTAAGGCGGCGGGGAGGTTGCATCGTTGTATTTACATTTTAAATAATACTGATGTCACTAGTCTTTGGATACCAATTAGAAGAAAAAAAAATCAACAAATCGCACACAAAAAAACCAGTTATCAAGAAAGTAAGGTAATTTACGAGTAAGATAAAATTAAGTAGCGACATTTAAATAACACGGGACAGTAGCTCAATATTAACATAAACGATGTTATTATTACCGTAATGACTCGATTTAGCGCCCGAGCGCTTATTTACTTTCGGTACCTCAAGGGAGAGTGCTTATCGGACACAGTGCACTTATCAGGACCGGACGTAATTTCTTTTTTGAGGAACAGGATAATGTGTAGAGCAAAGTTTTGATATCTATTTTAAAAAGGACCTATAACGGACTTGTTCTCCCTGGATCCTCCATGAACCTTCCTGGATAGAACGACCAGCCGAGCAATTGTCACAAAATTTTTAGATGAGAGATACATTTAATAGATGAGAGACTGAAACGGAGACCACCGTTCCTGTAATGAGGATTTAAGTTTGCAATTAAAGGAAGATGAACCACGATTGATCTCGATGTACATGTATTATTGGAATTAGGGTGCTTTCTCAATAGAGGCGCTTATTGGTATAGGGGCGCTTATTGACCAAAAAAATTCGAGGGGCGCTTATTGACAAAAAAAATTCGAGGGGCGCTTATCGGAGAGGGCAGTAAATCGAATCATTACGGTGTTACGATTATTTATGACACAGCCATGAACATAAAATTTTTATTGTTAACATGATAAATCGGGTTTTCATTTTAAATAATCTTTTCTTATCTTTTTCTTAGGCCGTAAAGATAGGCTCAATGCAGAAATACAGCAATGTACAAAATGGATGGGATGGAATTAGTAGTTCTACCTGAGTAAATTGAAAATCTTGCTGGGTTAAGGGCTTTAATTCATTAAAGGGTTAATCTGAATTGATTGTGTTTATAAAATGGTCAATAGGGCTCAATATAGAAATAAAAAACGCGGCACAAATGGGAAGAGTTTTTGTCATCTTTCATTGAAACTATAGCAGCATTCTACGGTTAACTTGTTTTCCTTGAGAGGAAGTCGCAGGCCATAAGTTCCTTGGACGTAAAGGGCGAACCCACATATTTGTGTATCTTTTAATAATTGGGATTTTTGATATAGTATAGTTGGTGTTTTTAGGCAATAGAACGAGTAATCATATGAAGATTGAAGTCTCCCACAAGATGGTTAGCATGTAAGAATGAAGACTCAGGAAATCTGAGAACTTCTACAGGAAAACGTTTAAAGTTCTAATTCGCCATGTTCAGACGGAAGTAAATGATTTTTCCCTTAAATACAGCAAATATAAAAATACGCACCTTGATGGTTGGATGCTCGGGTGAACCAACTTACTTTTATTTCGCATTTCAGTTCAAATAGTGGTAAGTAATTAATACACAGCTAGAAAGTTATAATGATTTCTACAAACTCAGCGGCCAAGTTTCTTGTAAAGTTGTAAAAGTGCTTTCTAGAAAACAGATATCATTGACGACTTGTAACTTTTGCAGTCTGTGCAACTTTAGCAATCTCTCTTAAAATATTCGCGACTACGGGAGCAACGGGTAAGGGAGGCACGAGTCGCACACCAGACTATAAACCTAAAATCTCTTTCTCGTCTTTCTTCGCTGTAGAGTCCGGCCTAGATCTTTAAAATGTAGAGATAAGATCCTTTTTGTACGGCTTCACGCGAACTAGTAAAAACTTTCGTCTGCGTCAAAAAAATGGCACAAAACTAGAAGGGTAACAAAAAATTAGACATTTACTCATTAAAAGTGCAATACTAAGGACAATTAGGTATCAAAACAATATGGCTTCCAAAAATGGCAACCAGCAACATTTAACGAAGAGCGCCAACAAGCGAAGTGGTAATTCCAATTCGGTCAGTGCCCCTACTTATCAGCAAACATAATTTGGTGAGAAGCGTCCCATCCATCGCCTGGATGGCCTAACCAGGAACGAACAATTATTTGCCAATATAAGAAGAAAGAAAAGAAGCAGGTGAGTGGGCGGGAATTGAAGAAACGTCAGAATCAACAACGTCAGCGAGACTAATCGATCAGTTCTGTAAAGTCCTAAATAACTACGCCAAAAGCACTTCTCGAGTTTTTTCAAATTGATATAAAATGTTCAGTTAAACCACAGAGAAATAAAAAACACAATTTGCACCCAGTAGACCATGGGCTAGGGAATACGAATAGTTTTTGTTCTCTTGACCATGGAATACTCGAAATTATTGCGGGAAGAGCCATTGGAAGCCGGAATTTACTTTGCTTAAGCTTCACTATAACTCAATCTCATTTAAGATTTCTTAAGTAATTTAAATAAACGTAAGATCTTCAAATATAATAATTATCAAAAATATTAATCATTTGGTACAGTACTGAAAGAACAGTAAAATTCTCGAAGTCAGTTCGAAAATGTTATCAGCAAATTATGTTTCGACAGCCGCATACCGCTTCGGTTTGTCTGTATATTAATTGCAATAGTCGGCCTTCAGCGTTACGCACCTTGCTTCGTGTCAATAGCGTTGTCAATTTGGTACATGTTAATGACAAACCGGAAGAACTCAAAGGAGCGACAAGAGATCACAGGGGGGCCAAGCTCTCTATAAGAGGATAATATCGTAGAGCTTTGTTTGGGAGTTTTGGCTCCGCTCTGAAACTCCGTAAATAATAAAGAAAATAAACTTTAATAATTCAGATAGTATTGTTTTTGTTCTCTGGTAGCGATTTCAGGCGATCTCGTCGAGTTTCAGCTGGGCGTTCATTCCACTACTTCTTAGTACAGGCAGTAGTGGGATGAGAGCACAACGGGGTACAGTTAAAGACATCATATATGGTCTTACACGATGTACCACGCTCGCGTTCGACATCATCGTCCCGGTGGAACACAGGGGTCAAATGGCTGTGCTTTCGCACTTAAATGGATAATTTGCCTTTGTAAATATGACGTAACTAAGCAATGGGTAGTTCATCGCAGTTTCTAAGAAAAGTTCGCAGTTTCTAAGGCTGAGACTTATACACATTAAAGTTCTAGACTTAATCTTTTTTGTGCTAGTTTACACTACGCTAAAACGCGTTCGTAAATGCTTTTTATTCTTTCATAGGCAGCCCGAGCTCTAGCTGTGAGATGATCATCTTGCGAAATAAGAGTCATGACGAAATTACAAGAGTTTGTATGGAAATATTTATGATCGCTCTTAAGAATAACATACACACTCAAAATTCGCTGTAAGAAATACCTCGCCTTACTTTCAAAGTGCATCGCTTGCTATCTGACCGCTTTCTATGTTAAAAAGAACAAATTTTAGCGAGTTATTCATTTCTAGGTTTACAACGTGCATAAGAAAAGCTTATGTACATAGTAAAACTGAAAATGGATAACTCGCTAAAATGACTCATGATGAAGATGATCATTTCATAGCTGGAACTTGGGCAGCCTTTGATTCCTTTAAAAATCTTGTGCATGCGCAGTGTTTGACCGCTGTGTTTTCTAGTGGTCCCGTCGGGGTCCTGCTAGTCATGCGCGTGGAGACCGAAGAGAGAGAGAGAGAGCTCTGGGAACGAGATTGTTTGATAACGACTTAACGTTTACGAACCTGAAGTCTGTGAGGCAACTCTGTGACGGTTGCGGCAGTGGATCAGCGCGCGTCTTTTTCGTGTGTGTCACAGTAAGAAAGAGAGTGATGCTTTAAACAAATTCTCGAAGTGGTTCATCAGGACTTTACGCTACCAACATCGTGCTACATCTAAATAACAACTATTTTAACCAGCACCGCGCTCTGACCTCACCTTTGAATGAATAACTCATGGATGCCGTCAAAATTTACCAGAGATCTTCAAAGTTTGCATATGCGTTTGTTACTCGTTTTGGTTTTCCCACTTGTGCGTATTTCTGTCGCGGTTTTTACATCGTTGAGAGCGGTGGGTAAACACCGAAGTCATGGGCGACTACGTTTAGCAATGCTTGCTGAACCATACCTAAGTAAGTGTCGAGATTTTGGGTAAAATGTCCGCACAGCCCCATACTATTGTTAAACAAATCTGTTTTTCCAAAGGCAATGTATTGTTTTTGTCTTTGTTTTCTCTATCCAAGAACTGAATGCATAATGTGGTATGGGGCTGTGCGGAAATTTTACCGAGATTTTGAGGAATTTTTTTTGCTCGGATGGCACACAACGGAAAAAAAATTTATGCCTTCATATCAGAAATGAGCGTACACAGGCCACTCCACAGTATTAGTAAGACAGTATTTTTAAAAAGGAAAGAAAAAGCGCGCAGTTTGGAGATGTAGTGATGATTACAGGAAGAAATATTTCTTAAACACTTGAAAGCATTTTAAGGCTTCTGAAACTTTCATCATGAGGCACGTCCCATCCTGCTTCACCATGTTGAGTTTGAGAATTTTTCAGTGTCTTTCTTCATTTTGCAGTGTTCCAGTAGTAAGAGAGGGTTCCTTTGTCTCCAGTTTTCATACATGCTGATTGCCAGATCTGTCAAATGGAAAATGCCATAATATTCCTGGATTGATGGCTCTCAATGAGAGATTGATTTAGGGGCAGTGAGGCGGATGTGACTGAGTGGTATTTGCATTAACATTATGGATGTCTTTGGTGAGTCTGTGCATCAGATTGCCCTTTGCAAATTAATTTCATGTGAGATAGTTTGATACTATTTTGCCAAAACTGCTTCAATATGATTTTCCTGAAAGAATTATGCTCATAACCCTGAGTCAATCCAGTTTCCAAGGTTGTGCTCTATCAGGCTATGGTGTTCGATAGAGATGACAAGAGCAACTGACAAAAAGAATTACCTCCTGGGAATATGTTCACATTGTTGTCCCAACTTTCTGCTATATAATGATATGAGATGCGTTGTGAAGCTACATGTATTATCTTAGGTGTAAGGGGTTATCAAAATTGGTAACATGCAATTAAACTGAGAGGTCATACATAAGATTTAAATTTTGCAGAGCAGTAAATATGACAATGCTGAACATTTTCCCCAAAACTGCAGACAAAGAACCAGAAGTTCTGCATTTTTGCCTGAAGGAACTCACAGCAATAAATTGAAACAACATTTCAATCAGGACTTTGTTAAAATTTTATATATTTGAGGATAATGTCCTTAAACTAATTATGTAATCAACACAACTTCATAATTTACAGTTTGTGACCATTCTGTTTACTGTCCATAATTTAAGCTTGCATTTGAAAGTTTTAACCAGGTTTAAACATCCTTAGCCATTGTTGTGGATTTTGATAAGATTTCTTTTTGATCAGTATCAAGGTCTAGAGTCAAACTTCATGAAGTAAACCTAAGAAACCTGAAAACTGTGTTAGATGATGAACTGGAGATGTGTAAATACAGAAAATTTTGGATATGGTGGAGTGGCAAAGAGACTCTTAGACACAGTGATCAATAACAACATTGGATCAATATCAGTATCTGAGCAACTGCCCACCCACCCCTGCCCTAACCCAACAACAGTTAATGTTGGGTTAGGGGAGGGGTAGGTGGGCAGTTGCCCAGATACTGATGTTGATCCACAACATTCATAACAAAGAGGGTTATGCATACAGTAAAAATAATAATATTCACAAGCTTATTGTCCAAAACATCAAAACTACAAATGAATTTCAGGCAAAGTTTTGCTCAAGATATGAAGAGGGTCATGCATACAGTAAAACAATAATCTTTGCGAGGTTGTTGTCCAAAGCAAATAGCTACATGTATTATATTTTGAGTGAAGTTTTGCCCCATTGGCAACTATGCATGCTATGCAGATTTTCATTACATGGATTAGACTAAAGGTAAGGAACTTTAAATTTTAAGAAAAAATTTATCATGCAAAAGCTCCATTGTTTCCCAACTTTGAATGTCTCAAACTAAGTTTTTAGGGTCTTGATACTCAGCTGGAATGTCTTAAAACTTGATGGGAGCCTCGATCCTTGCAGTTATTGAGTATCGAGGATGGAGACTTAAGGATAGAGGATCAAGATTTGAGGGACTGTCAACTTACCTTTGAGCAGTACTGTATGTTTGAGCTAGGGCTTTTTTTCCTATTGTTGACAGTTAATTGTTTTAAAGAATAGGCTGAAAGCACCTAACCATTGCACAGTTACCAAAGACAATCACCGTTTGAACTGACCTTCCTGATATCCTACTACATGTACATTTTGTGCGAATGCGACTTCATAAAATAAGATCTGTCTAAATGAGTTGGGAATGTGTTCAAAATAAACCTATTCTCAGTATATCATATTTCTGCAGAATCAAGGGAAGCTCCTGTTTGTAAAGAATTGTTGCCTTCTGAAACAGAATTGCTTGAACCATTGATAAACATGCTGTTCTTGGAAACTGTTCCATTCATCTTGTCTATTAATACAAACACTTTAAGAGGTTCTGCTCCCTTATTTTAATGGTGCTGCTTTACCTGTCATGACTATGTTTTGTTCTGACTTGTATGCGATTTTCATGCGGAACCAGATTTGCTTCGATGGCAATGAATAGATTAAAACATTCATAATCTGAAGTAGAAATTTTCCTTCTGCTCCTAAAAATTTAGCAATGAACCATTAAAGGTAATCAAGGAAAGTTTGAAGTTTAGAGAAGTCATCACGTGCAATGCAAGCACCAAATTGTTTATATTCCATTGCATTAACATTCAAACAAGCACCTGTTGCAATGAATAAATTAAAAAGCACATAACTATAATTAACACTTTAGTATTTAGTAAGTTGTTTTATTGTTCCTCCATCTGGTCCAATGCTGCTGACACTAACCTCCTCAAGCTCCAAGCGATCCAGAACTTTGCAGCCCGGATTATTTCTGGATCCAGAAAACTTGACCACGTTACTCCGCTTTTGAAAGAACTGCATTGGCTACCTATTAAATCTCAGCTATACTTCCGTGACGCCGTGCTTGCTTTTAAATGTATGACTGGATCCGCTCCTACTTACCTCTCTTCGAAGTTTCTAACGCGCGGTAATTTTAGCGGTCGCACGACCAGAAGCTCCCAACTGTTGCCCATACCATTATACAAAACTAAATCTGGACAAAGAACTTTTTATTATCGCACTGTCAGCCTGTGGAACAGTTTAGATAATGATCTTAAACTTTGTAATTCTTCTTCTAATTTTAAGCGTAAACTTAGGGCCAAATTATTTGCTGCTTTTCTTTCTCCTCGGTCCTAGTTTTTAATCATATCATATATTTTTTATTGTCCTTCTTTAAAGTTTCTTAGTTTTTATCTTACCCATTTTATCGTACCTTCTTAAAGTTTCTTAGTTGTAATTTCGTAATTATTTTTAGCTTTATAGATTAAACATTTTTATTATTGTAATTATTAATTGTCACTGAAAAGCCCTCTTAGGGAGTGTCAATAAAGTTTGTATTGTATTGTATTGTATAACTGAGTATTTGCTTCATTATTAGTTTATTGGCTTAACTGATACAATCATGTATTTTAATGCCTAGTTTAAGTGACATTTTCCTTTTCCTTCTGATTCATCATCAGCTCAAATCTGTCTTCCACCTTTATTATGACTCTGTCTTCCAACTCTAGTGTCTGAGAGGGCTTTAAAACAGGATTTTATTTACACGATTTTCCTCTCTGTGTTCTAAATTTAAGTGAATGTGCCGACAGCACACCCAATTGTGATGTGAATGCTGAGTGTAACAATATCTTGAGATCTTACAAGATGCTGTGGACCACAATGCTGTAGAGACATGGATTCTTGGTGTTTGTGCTATTTCCTACTCTCCTCTTAAATATCCATCTTATGGCGATGAAAATTGGGCCGGCACTCTCTAAGCATGGGTTTTTCTCGGCATGGTTTTGGCTCGAGTGATTGTACATAGCAAAAAAATTACTCAGTTCAAGCTTGGACATGAGAACATTTGTCTTCTGGCATTTGCATATGGCTTAAGTAATGCTGTCCCAAGGGATGCTTCTTCATGACCTGAAACGAATAATGCTGCTGCCAACACAATGGTTTTTATAAGGTCCAGTATTCATTGATATAAACAAAGGAACAAGCTTCTAAGATATTACAATATGCCAGTTGCTTATTACAGTAATTCCATCGCAATGCAAAAGCTCCTGATCATGGCTGATGACATCTCTGACAACCCCAGCCTGACACAAAGGATGACATCGAGCTCACGGCAATCAAAACAAAAACCAACTTCCAAGTGAAATACTACAAAGTGTGATTATTGTGAGAAGATGATAAGAAGAAACCAAATGGGAATAACCTGCTGTGTCTGTATAAGTTCTTTCCACCTGAAATGCTCTGGCATGACAGCCCTTTCCTGTACCTGGTTGTGCAGTAACTGTCTGGGATCTGCTCTGCCTTTCTATTAGTGCTTGGATGCAGAAATGCTGAATGATATGTCGGATTTGTCCCGTCATTCCGCATTTCTTGATGCCACCCTTGATAATCATCTGCTCTGCTCTAACTCAGGTCAGTTGAAAGTAATGCATCTTAATACACAGTCTATGGTTTCACCTTTACCAAGTTGTTACTTACTGTCAATTCATATCCATCAGATATTGCAGCATCGAATGAACTTGGCCTAGAGACCAGTGGTATTTATTGGATTATGTTATCTGATTTTGTTACAGAATTCTGAAACAGGGAAGGTATAAGGGGAGGGTGGTGTAAAAACAATTTAAGACTTAAATGTCTTCAATTTACTGAACTGAAGGGAAACTTCACAAAGTTGCACGTTAAATAACATACTTTCCCCCAGTCAAAAATTATTTTGAACTTGAGAATCAGGCTCTCTCAAGAAAAATTCTAAAGTTAGAGAACTGATTCAACTTCATGATGTACAGTGAGTCATTAGCAAGTTTGCCTTCAGCTTTGAAAGTATTTATCAGTATGATGACTCTTTTTTGCACTCTTATTCCATCAGAATCATGTAAAAAGCTTTCCCTCAAATACAACACCAAAAAACAGATCTCAACAAAATGAATCCTCGACTTTCTAATGCAGGTCAATTTTAAATTTGCCCGCCATTGCAACATCATGACACATCACAAGGCGCAGCTATAAAATTATTTTTTGCAAGTCAAGAGCAAGAAGAAACCAATTTTTACACCAAGTGAAAAGTTTCACTTTCAGCAATGCATATTTGTTCTCTTTCAGTTAATGTGAACAATAATTTTTTTCAAACAATAACAATCGAGGTTGTTGTCTTCACCCGCACACAATGGCGGGCTTGCGAAGGGAGACTAATGTGCAACAATAGTTTTTCACGATATAAAAAATGCTATGATCACGAATAGTTCTAAAATTTACTCTAGCAGAACATTTAAAAGTTCTATTTCCTACAAATTTCCACTATGCCACTTGGCAAAACACAATTGTTCACCCTGCATTTGGCAACACAAAGGAACACCACACTGTTCACATGCGTAAGACCTTTCAAAGGTGCAGCCTTCATTCCTTTTTCTGCCAGCTTTTGTGCACATGGCACAAGGTTTCTTCCTGCCTTCCAGTTTCCCCAGAAAATGACCACTTGAGTTTTCCTCCGTTGTCACCCAAGTAGACTTGAAAGCATGGAACATAATAGGTGTCAGTGTCAGCAAGAAGCCAAACTTTGATGCCAAATTTATCAGACTTCATTGGCATGTACTGCTTGAACGAAAGCCTCCCATAAAATTTCTCAAGACCCTCGTCAACTGTGGTATTTTTCCCAGGAGTGTACGATTGGCAAACTTTCACTCCAATTGAGTTAGAAGGGGGCAAACTTTTCAGAGGAGACTGTTTTGGTCTTCAGCAGTTGGGTCAGCAAGATGTAAACATTTCCCCAGAGTCATGAAGTGGTACTTTGGGATCATTTTTTTTTTAAGCCCTCAACTCCAATAAACTTGTTAGAATCCCAGTACATTGCCAGCTGAGGAAGTTCATGGATTCCAATGAGAAAGTTCAACCTGAGATATGCTGAAATTTTTGCTCGAGTTGTTGTTAATGTTCTATCCCCTTTCAAATGAGCGTATGCAATGGTGTATCAGATGATTTCGTCAATGTAAGCATCGTTGATAAATACATTGAAAAAATCTTTGGCAGTTGCATTTTCTCCGAGATCTCTGGTCGGGCCATGACAAATGGATAATTGCTCAACATTAATTTTGTCACAATGTGCTAGACCATTGAAGAGCATTTGGTTGGCTTTCTTCAGCAGTAGATTCTTCATCGCTACTTTTGTCACTTTCTTCTTCTTCCTCACTAGCGTATAGCTCAACATTGGAATCGCTTCCCCTTTCTTGTGACCATGGGTCAAGAGTCTTCCATCTTGTCATCCACATTGCGAAGCAAGTTTTGTTCTTGCTGTGTGTGACAAGCTTGTCGCATTTTGTCGATTTCTTCGATGGTAAAACCAGCGAGGACTTCTTGATCTTCATCGGATGAAAATTGACTTTCATCAATTCTTCCAAATGTCTAAGACCAAGACATTTTGTTGAAAAATTTGTGAAAAATCGCACAGTGGACGTGGAATAGTGAGTTTGGTCTCAAATGAAAGCTTAATTTTTGCATTTCAAGTTTCACTGCTGTCCAATACCCAGGGGAGTTTTGTTTCTAAGTAATACTTATCAGTGCTATTACTGGCATTGCATGTACATCACAACTGCTTGTAGGGAAAACCAATCAATAATCTGGATACTCTATCTATTTTCCGAACTTTATCAGAAAGCTGCATTCTCACAGGGTTTTGATGAATCTTGACTTGTTTTGTCTTTGCTTGTTTGTGCTAACAGGCTGCAAAAACCTCTTCAAAAAGTGCAAGTTTCTTGATTTGATTATTTCTTCTTTGTAATGAATGAAATAGTTTTTGATACTCTTTTAGTTATTTTCTATGAACTAAATGCAATTTGTCATTGTCAATGTTATCTCTAGCCTGGACAAACAATGTTTGTTAGGCACGTTTCATCTATAGCTTTTGTTATGTTTGTCCCTGCATACTTGTGGGGGAATTTATTTTGCTGCTCCCTGATTATAACTGCTATTGGGTTATGACCAGATTGACAGCTACTCTCCTTTTCCTTGAACAGTTCCATCTTTAGTCTCCTTTGGCCAAAACACCAAACCAAACAATTTATAAGCAGCAAGCCTGCAATGCAGGTTATCCAGCTGGGATGGAAATGGAAGGCAATTCATCCAAATCTGTTGCAGCTGTCTTTGGAGTTGATGCTTAAATTTGTTGATGGAGGGAAAATTGATATCAGTAGTGCCATATGTGGTGGTGAGGTTTGACGATTTTTCTGCTGATTCTAGGAACTGGGGGAAAATTAAGGAGCAATGGGGAGTTTCCTTTTTGTGCTTGGTAGAGTTGAAGCAAAAATTGCTGTGTATTTGTTGCATATGTGCTGACCAACTCTGAGCAAGAGTTGTGTTTTACCTCCTCTAAAGAAAGAGAAGAAGACTCTTTTGAAACCTTGTTTCTTATTTAAGCATGTGCAATGGTTGCTAAGAGACTGATTGATTTCCATGCCTACTGAAATGAATACTATTTCCATTACCAGGGAGTTTCCAGCGCAATGTGACAAATTTACGTGTGCAGTGAAACGTGAACAATGTATATAGAACAAATTTAAAACACAACTTAAATCAGCTTTACCTGTAGAGAATGATAAAATTATCATTAAGTCACCTCAAGCTCTGTTAAAGAAAGGTAGGACTGACAGAACAAAGAAAAAGACACTGTCTTTGCTGTGGCATTTATCCAGGTGGTACAACAACAAGCACTACAACATAGCATGGACTGCAGGAAAAACTGATTCAATTACATTTAACAGAATATTAAAATTGGCACAATTAATTAACATTTGGGTTGTGGTAAAAAACCTATGATTTATTTATGGTAGATTTTTATTTGATCCAGTTAATCAGCAAAACATATGATTTCAAAGCAAATTATCTTTATGTATCTGCATCTGGGACCCATTATTTCATAAATGTCTACTGTGGTCATATGGTCTTTAAAAGTTTCACTCAATTATTTGTTCTGCATACAGATTATACCGAGATGTTTCCAGAGAGCATAAGTTAGGAATCACTAGTGAAATCTTTTATGTTAGAAAATTGACAGCAGCCTGTTTGTCAGGGGTCCAACTAAGATCAAAGTGATGGTGGAGTAGCAGCCCTCTTCAGCTCAGAGCTCTAGTCTTCATAGTAACCTTATAACA